CTCAGCTTTCCTCATTCTGGAAACTGACACATTGAAATATTAACCATACCAAGCTATTTTGGAAATTACCTTTCCAAATGAAGCTTCTGTTTGTGTAGATCATTTTTCATTCAAATACATGTGTTTTTTCCCTCCCAAATCTTCCATGTATGGCTCAGATTCTCGCCATCGGCGAGACAAACAAAGGCTTGTTTCTAACAGTATCTCATGTATTCCCCCATAACCTGTTGGTAGCAAAACTAGATACCAAATCTCAGAGACGCATGAAAAACTGGACCAGTGAGAAAGTTAAAAATCCAATGATGGCTGGGCATCATAAGGAGAAGGCCTTAAGCTGCATCATCGCTAAATTACCATATGTTCCCAAGTATAAGACAACCCGATGTATATGATGCACCTTGATTTTGGAACTCGAAATTGAGAAACGTAGTGGGGGTGGGTGGGAGCAAATTATTACTTAATATCTACCACTTCGGTATAAGACGCACTGTTTTTAGACCCTACATTTTTGGAAAAAAAAGTGTGTCATGTCCTTAGGGGAAACATGGTAGGACTATTCAACTAGCAGCCCAATCTGGCCCGTGGAGGCTTAACATAGGCCTGCGGATCACTGCCAGTTGTATTTAATCTTCCTATGCGGAGGCTCACACCCCAGTCCCATGTTATAATAAATTTCAAAATGTGGGCTCCCTTAGTTTAAAAAAAAAAAAAAGGCAGATGTGTATCCTTTACAGGATGTTGTAGAAACAACCCCAGCATTTTTTGCCTGTTGTAGTTTTTCTAGGCAACTTTACGTCCAGTAATTTGCAACCCTAAGTAAACTTAGTGGAATAGCCCTGTGGTAGGTTCTCACCCTAGTCATGGGTAGATAAGGTGTTTCAACTTGCATGGAATCTGTCTACCTAACGAAACCTCACACAACCACAAGCCAGAATCAGACAGATGTGTGACAAACTCCACTCAGGGACAAAGAAGAATGTACACATACAAAGGCTTCATATGGGTCCTGGGGACCTACTGTGGGAGAAAAAAGAAGAAAGCCACTGCCCCTCAATAAGCATGTCATTAATAAGGTGACTAATTAAGGGTTTGCTGAATTGAGATGTGTTGGGCTGAAAGGGGCATGTATTTTAACCTAGCGTAAACCACAACACACACAACACACCAACCATCCTTTTGAAAGCCAGTAAAGATAAAGACAGACCTGTCTTGGTATGAAGTGAAAACGTGAGAATATTCTGTGATTTTTCAGGTTTTTTATACTCCATGCAGATTCTATCAAGCTTGGGGGAGGGGAAGGGGGGAGGGGGGTGGTTTCCACCCTCACTTTAATAACCAGATTTTAAACCCTTGAATGTGTTACTGTTGGATTACATGGAGAGTGCACAGCAACAGACCACACATAACAGCATCCTCAACAATGAATCAAATTAGGACAGCCACTTTAGCAGAAACTGGCACTGCATCAAAGGGTGTTTCCAGCATATACTGCCAAAAAAGAGAGGCCTTCAGATATACCAAGCCATAATATGGAATGGAATAAACTTACCAACTGTCATCTCCCCCACACAATATTTTCAAAAATGACATGGTAACTGAGCTATAAGGCTTGATCAATGCCAGACATACTAGTTTAGGAAAATAATTCTGCTAGTTTCTGGATGTGCAGACTTATGTGTTAAGCACTAGGATTACAAACTATGTTTCATGGACAATAGAACATGTGCCATATAAATCTGTTGATGACTAACTGCATTTCTAATGTCAGACTGTTTGTGTTAACCCTTCTGGCGGCTGCCTAATGATTTTAATACATGTATATGCTGTGAATATGCTGAAACTGCAGTCTGTGTTAATTTTTCCACAAGGAACAGTGACAGACAATCTGTTTTTCGATATCACAGAAGCTGAGCAATTATGGGGGTGGCACGTTTGCTATGAAGCTGAAACTAAGATTACCAAGGTAATCTAGCAAAGAAGAAGTGAAATCTTTATGACAAAGCCTTCTATCCCCATTCCCACACACCCAGTCAAACTTAATGGATTCTGTGTAAACCAGGCGGGTGCGCTCTTTTCTCTGCTCTACATGTTCATTCCCATAAAAGTCAAAAAGGTTATTTTTTGTTCAGCATTTTGGCTGTGAGATTCTGAACACTCAATAGCAAGCAACAATCTCACTGTATCGCTGCTATTCAGTAACATTAAGTATGTTCATTAAATACCTGTGCCAGATATTAATTTAATCTCAGAGACATGCTTTGTAAAAGAAAAATTCAAATCAACAGATGTACATAACTATGATTGGTTCAAAATAACAAATTATGAAGAAAAACTGTTTCAGAGTTTATTCCAATAACTGACTACAGGTATCCAAAAAAAAAAAGATGCAGACATCTGTTCACTATCTGCCTTTGGCATTAAAAAAAAAACATGGGCTATCTTGATCAATTTAATGATTCTGCTCAACACTGAACTTTGACTGATCTAAAACTGATATGATATTCAAGTTGCTCTAAGCGAATCAGACTCATGACAAATAGAAAAGATATTGAATCCTGGGTAATATGTACCATACAACACAAAATTCCACAGTGTATTCATCACATTCTACTTAAAAATATGAGTGAACTGTGAAAGATGTGAGACACATTCTTGTATTTACAATAAAAATGTCATGACACTAACAATCAATTTGAACATACATTACCACAATTACTCAGACTTGGACTCCCTGTTCTTGTACTAAGTTCACTTAGCTTCTGGGAAATAAAGATGTTGGAAACTCAAGACAAATTACTAGATGCCAAACACTGGGCTTTAAAGACCAATAAGAAAACCAGCAATACTGTAATTCCCAGATATTTCTCAGATAAAGATAAACGTATCCTATTTGGTACTAAGATGTTTGGAATGAGTTGATTTAACTTTTTTTAAAATGGGAAACAAAAAAAACCTGTTAATTGTGTATCCTTTAGAGGACACTGCATAACCAGCCTTTTTTTGTTTTAGCTGTCAGTGATTTCAATAGACAATTTTTGTGTTCAGTATACAACAGAATAGCTGGTATTTCATGGAAACAATAACAAATACAGAGGTTCAGGAAAGACTGTGAATGAAAAGTGAATTACTGAGAGAAATTAAAGATGACAATAATGTAATACCACGGTGACATCCACTTCAAGTGAGAATGAACAGAAGAATCTCAAGTAGTCAGCTCTCCTAGTGTCACAACATGAACAGCATAATTTACTTGGCAGGGCACAGCACAGATCAGCATTGTGGACAATGTACACACACAGGTAAAACTGACATTTCTGAAGACAAGTTGTCTTCCAGCTGTAGGACTGGACATACCAGTACAAACCAGCAACATCACATTTGTCAAATACACTATCTAGTGTGCGACAGCAGAATGATATATAGACATGTGTGAATTCACATGCTAACATTCATTGTTGAATGACCGAAAACTATAGTTCTTTGCTTGCATAACTTATGCATAAAAAACCCAAAGCACAAGCAGCTCTCTGTAAAATCTGGACAATCCAGAATCTAGCAATAGTTTATGAACTTCAACTAAAGGTAACAATGGCTCTTAATACTTGCTGGACATGCCCACTGAAATATACATAATTGTTTTTCATGCTCATTCCTTTTTTCTCTCTACATAACTGCACATCACATGCTTCACTTATTAATTTTTAGCCATCCAATACATTACATAGGTAATATAATATCTGCATCTTTGCCTAAAACAATATACAAAATTATGTGCTGCAGAAATAACTATAAAATAAATCACATAAAAGGGAAATATTTTTGTTAAAAGCCTTAGCCACATTTGATATAACTTAATTTACTGATCTTCTGGCATAGTCTACATGCTAATATCAGATATGATAAATCTAAGAATAACAAGATTTTCTGCACCTAATTAATATACTAACTATCTGAAGACCAAAACTTGGTAAGTGACAACAAAAATATACTGCAAGAAACCACATATTTTTTTGGGGGGGGCTTGTATCTTTTAAATAACAGCAAGCTTCTGTACTACAGTGCCCTTGAAACAACTAGTTTCTTGTCATGAATTGTTCAATAAATATAATTCTTACATTAAACTACAGATTTATCCAATAATTTTCTAAATACATATCATTCAACCCTTATAATGTTTACAAATGAAATTCAGCCATATCCATAACCAAAATTAGATGTGCCTTCAAAAGACAGGGGGAGTAAAAATGTGTAGAGGTAACAAGATAGGTTATATAAAATAAAGAAAATGATACAGATTTAAAAGGAACTGTAATCTCTCCACACAAAAAGAAAAACTATTTTAATCTTCAGTACTGAAGTGTCCAATATTTTAACATCAATGCTTTTCTTCCTTAACCTTTTCTTGTGTAAATTTTTATTTAACCGCTACAAAGCAAATTATTTTCACAATGAGTAAAACGTATAAAACTATTACAGTCCTTTTCTCCGTGAACCGTTTTTAAAAGACAAAACACACAGGTGATATCAACTATAAAGATGCCAAAGATAAGCCCTTATGTGTACAAAAAAACGAATGGTTACAGTATCAGCTACAAGGTAATAATACTACATGAAATTGTTACACTAACAAATGACATTCATTGAACATAATCACACATTTGAACTGGCCCCACTAAATACCTTCTACAATGCACAGGAAGACAACATAAATCTCTGAAAAAGCTAGTGAGATCAACTGAAGAATTTAAAAACAAAGAAGGAGTTTAAAGAAATGACTTTCATCTGAAGATTTCAAACTACACATTAAAACACACAATATAAAATGCACTCCCTACTTCAGTCGTATTTACTCCAAAAGATTAACCTGAATACTACAGCAAATAAAAACATATAAACATTCCACTGTTGTACCAAAGATTAATGTCAATATAAAACTGCTAAAATATCTTCTGCTGTGGGGGAAAGAGGTGTAAAGTTCACAAATAATCTCAGTTTCCATTTCACTTGGCACCCACTAGCTTCTTCAGGTGGGGCGTATCAAAGGACTTCGGTCGTTCAATTGGCAGACCAAAAGCACGATCCCAAATCAATGATGCCAGAACACCCAAGGCTCTGGACACTCCAAACATAACAGTGTAGTAGTTCATTTCTTTCAGTCCGTAGTACTGAAAAGTAGAAGAAAAACACAATATGTTAATTATACAGTGAAAGTTTTACAGGTCTATTTTTTCAGTCCCAAAAAGCTGTAACGTAAATAATTGTAAACTTAAGGTGTTTGCAATCTCAAGTACCCCAAGTGGATTCTGGGATCTCATTGGGGGAAAAAGGGGGGGGGGGAAAGAAATAGACCCACTGTGCCCCTGACAATGATGTCATAAAAGTGTACCAATCAGAAGTGTATCTTTTTAAGTCGGACTATAAGTGGCTAAGAGGTGAGGAACCAATAGTAAGTTAGATCTGTAAAAAGGAAGTACACGCACAACTGAAGTTTTGAAACAAGACCAAAGCCCAAAAGCAGACAAACAACATGAACGTTGTTTACCACCGGTAAGCACACAAGAAGAATAAGAAGAAGAATAGGTTAACAGTATGCAACAATAAGACATAAGGAGTTGCAGAAATAGCTGGGGTAGAAGGGGTTAAACAAGAAAGGAATAGAAGTGATTAATCAATGCATGCAATATTTAGAAAAAAAAAAACATAAATGTGAGTAGCCGGCATCTGTGGCTTAGGTGTTGTGAACGTGCTTCAAAATGCTGTGGTGCTGTGTTCGATCCCAACTGCGGACTGTTTATCCTGTGTTGGTGTCAACAATGGTACAGAGAGCTGACTGTTCAGTAAGCAATGGCCAACTACTGAATGTCAAGTTTACCTAGAAAAACCACTACAGCAAAAAAAAAAAATGCTGGGGTTGGTTTTGCAACCTTCTGTAAGGATACACAACAAACTCTTTTTTTTTATATAGTGAATAGCCTGGTCTTTAAAGAGTTAAGCCTCATAAATACACTGATTCCAGACTTATAAAAATGATGTACAAAAAATATGGCGACTGCAAAGAAGTGCTGGGGAAGTGCAGTGGCTAAAATGCTTGCCTGCTAGTTTGCTGGTCCTTTATTCAAATCCGCCTATCTCAGCCAGTAGGTATGTGCTATAGTAACCTAGGGCTAATCTCAGCTGGTCTGTATGCGCCAGCAATATAGGCCTAATCACAGCCAGTCTATACATGCCAGCTTATCTTGGCCTAAACTCAGCCAGTCTGTATGTGCGATGGCAATCTAACCTAAGTTCAGCCAATGTGCAGTATAGACATCTAGCTCTAATCACAGCCGGTCTGTAAGCGCTATAGCAACCTAGGTCTAATTGCAGCTGGTCTGTTAAGTGTTATAACAACCTAGGCCTTATCTCAGCCAGTCTCTATGTAGCAGCAACTGGTCCAATTTCAGCCATTCTGTTCTATGGCTATGAAAATACAAGTCTAGCTCTGTATACCTGAAATTGTGCAAAAGGTTCCTTTACTTATTATAATTCTTCTGATCCTCCGGGTCCCAGTGAAAATACATTCTAGTTATATTATTATCTGATTTTTGTGTGTGTCAATCTTATCCAATGCCAGCTTCTTTTCCTCACCTCCTGATTCAATGGATTCTGCAGTAAATAATTAAAGAAAATTAATTTAAATTACCTGCAGCAAAACACCACTGTGAGCATCAACATTGGGCCATGGATTCTTGGCCTTTCCTTGCTCGATGAGAATATCAGGAACCACTTTGTACAACTGAGAAACTAATTTAAACAGGGGGTCATTAGGCAGGTGTTTCAAGGCAAATTCTCGTTGACAGGTGTAGCGAGGGTCTGTTTTACGTAGTACAGCATGACCGTAACCAGGAACCACCTATTTCACAAAACCAAAAAACAGACAACATTCATTTTTAAGTCAAGCAAAAGAGGAAACATCACAGCAAGGATGTGTAGGTTACTAGCTGTGTGTGTGTGTGTGTGAGCATGTGGTATAGTGCATACCAAAAGGACGGGACCATATATAGTAAAAACCAACTGAACATATGTATGAAAGAAGTGGTGGCTTGCTCACAGGTACTGTGGAATTGAGGAACTCTCGTCTTCAATGGATGTTAATAATATTCAGTACATTAAGTCTTTTTTGTGTTAATCCTTAAAAAAAATTAATACTTGTACATTTTATAATGCTTTAAGAATTGCTTAATTCATGAACAAAATACAAAATTCTTTATCAAGATGAGCAGTAGTTTATAAACTGTTTCCATTTGTTTTGTGTTACACAATATTAAAACAATGACTAAAAATATTGTATGAATAAATAATACTTTTCAAAAAGATACCCCCTCCCTCCATATGTTTTTTTTAAAGACAAACATATTTGAGCACTTGAATGAAGGACGCTATGGATCTCTAATACTCTTGTCTCTCCTTCTGGTTGTAAACTCTTGACAATTTCTGTTCACCCACTTCTTGATATTTTAATTCCACATGTATCAGTCCACCTCGTGAAGGCTTTCCTTGAATTTTTCTCTAAAGCATGGTTTTGTATAAGAGTATTATGTCTTTTAATGTAATCACTGGTCTTTTTTATTTTGTCGATGTATTTTTCATTCACGGTCTCTCAATATTTATTTGAATGATTTTTATTTCCATGAAACAACATATTTTGTAATATATTCACATCTCTAGAACCTCAGCTCAACTTATGAATTCACTGTTCTGGCTTCTGTGCCACACAGTAGAGCTGAATGTACACTGCAATTGGTTCCTTTTTATGAAGGTAATGTAAAAGCAAAGCAAAGAAGATGAATTTCACTACATTGGGTTTTCCCAAACAGCCAGGCCTCTCGATCTGCTGAATGGCTGCTTGCGTGCAGAGAAAGCTATACGAAGCTAAATTAGATAGCTCCAGTGATGATCCCCCTATGGGGCCTTCATAAAAACTGCATTGTGACCTGAATGATTCGTCTGTGAAACAAACCCATGACTTCCAGAGTGCGAAGTAAACGGCTTGATGACTTCCCTCAGAGATCACCCTTTTTTAAATTTAAGCTTTGTTGAGACATCAGTGCACCAATAAAACAGCATATGTTATGATGCCACCAGTCCCACACTTATACATTCACCCACATTAGGCCTTGACCCTACCTGTCCAGATTTCAGTGTCTTCCAGATAAAGTCTCTCAGCTGTTCATCAGTTACTTCACCACCCAGAGCCTCCTGAAGCTTGGTTGTCCAGACTAAAACCTCCTAGATAATAAAAAATATAAAAAAACCATACAACTCACTGAATATAAATCTATATCCTGTCATTAATTGATTACTGACAGTGGTAATTTGCATTAACAGTATCATTTAATGCCTAAACAGGTAGCAAAGCACACATTTTAACAGTAAACTGCATCAAAGAATATAACATTATACTATTCTACACCAAACTCTTGCACAAGTCTGTTTATTACAAGGGTCCAAACACATCTCCTTTCCCCTCAGAGTTCAAATGTCTCTCTTGCTCGCTTGAATCACTTGCTTATCCCATGCTCAGTCAAGTTGTTTTCACCAATTAAGTGTCACTGACTTGTTTACCCTACTGTCACAGTGGGTGTTTGGTAATATTCTGGAAAACTTATAATTTATAAATAGAGTTGCAAAAAAAGGACTGCATTCTAAGGTTAGGATTGTAATCTCTTACCTGGTTGGCCAAGCCATGCAATGGGCCAGCAAGGCCGTTCAAGCCTGCTGCAAAAGACAGATATGGATCTGACAATGCACTGCCAACCAGATGGCAAGCGTGAGCACTCACATTGCCTCCTTCATGATCACTGGAAGAATGGATAAATGCATAAGTTTACTTTCTGTATTACTAATAGTTTTTAAAAAAAAATCTTATTACTAAGTCACAATAGCATTGAATAAAAGCAATAAATACTTGACCCGTTCAGGTCATAGAGGTGTATCAATGAAAGCACAACCACACGAAACCCACTATCTTTTGTCTTCCACTTGTTGAACAAGTGTATAATTATTGAACAAGTGTATAATAATTGAGTCCTGTCTCCTTCATGATGTCATTCCAGGTTCTTCTTTGTCGCCATCTTCTTCTACTATAGTCTTAACAATCGAAACATGTCTCACCACGACCCTAACCAAACTTGCTTGCGACGTTTTATCACTAACAAAAGAGGCACATTGTGCCTGCAAATTGGTTTATTTTACTTATTCAGCAGGCATAACATGATTTAATAGCTCACTGGCTAAAAATTAAACCAAGCCTAGCATTTGTTTGCTGTTTAGTTAGGCAATTTTATGTTCAGTAGTTTGCCATTGCTGAATGAACAATTGTTGCTCAACACTGCTGTCAAAATCAATACAAAGCATTACTAGCAGCAGAAAAAAATTAAAGGATATACATTAAAGCAGGGCTATTCAACTGGCGGCCGTGGGCCAGATCAAGCCCATGAAGGCCTAGCAAATGGCCCGCGGATCACTGCCCGCTGTACTGCATTAATGATCTTTCTATGCTAGTGCTCAGGCCCCTGCCTCTTGATGATACCTGTGTTCAATATGTGGGTCCCTGATTAAACTTAGCTGAACAGCCCTACAATGCAGACTGTTATTAAAACACAATTTCATATAGCAAGGTATTTTATATATATTAGGGTTGGTTTTTGCAACATCATGCAAAGGACTTGTAACCAACAACCTACTCTAAATAAAACATATTATGCGCCCTGTGCCAATAGGCAGTTAAAAAGTTTAAAGGAAAAAAGTCGAGAGGATCAACTTCACTGCACCGTGTTATATGCTATATGGCTTGATCTCCCTCCACAGAAAGGCTAGCCACCTGCCGAGAGCTTTGTACAAAGCACAAATTCCATAGCTCCAGCGACAATCCCCAGGAATCTCTGCAAAAATTGCATTTGTGAACTGAATAACACAGCCGTGAAATGAACCCACGACCTTCAGAGCATGTGACAAATGTCATGATCACTTCGTCGTGGAAACCCCCAACACAGGCAGATACAGTGGTCATAATGGCCATCCTGGCCAATGAGACTCAGGTGAAGTTGCATTAGGCCCAGTGAGCCGGCAATAGATTTATATAAATAGAGTCTAGTTAGTTACATTTCCTTTACAGGACGTTGCAGAACCAACCGCAACATTTTTTGGCTGTTGTGGTTTTTCTAGGCCAATTTACATTCAGTAGTTTGCCACTGCTTTCTGAACGATTAGCTATCAATACCACTGTTGAAAGCAATGCAAGGCAGTCTTGCTGCCAAATTGTCTGCAGCACCAAAGCTACAGATGTTGAAACAGACCTTTTATATCTTTAAAATCCAAAGTAGTAAAAGAGGAAGTGAAAAAGAAAAGTCAAAAAATTTGTAGAAGGGCATCTGACTGCATACCAGAAAAACATTTTTGTGTGTGCCGTCTCCACAATGCTGTCCTTGGGAATATTACATAGGGAGGTCTCAATCGTTTTCACACTGCGACTCTCGCACCACTGTCAAAAGGCTGCAAAAATTAAATTTTTAGCCACCCACGACAGAATCTGAACTGTTGGCTTCCAGGTGGACCCCGCCTCAAATGGGTACCACGTAAATTCCTGGCCTGATGTTGACCAAATCATGCACTGAGTGCCGCCTGGTCAGTAAAATATATGTTTAGCGTTATATGTTATATAAGCTTGAGGGCATGGAAAATGGTCCTCATGTCGAGGATTGGACTGTGAGATTATTTCACTATTTTCTCAACCAGAGAGCCGCAACGTAAAAAGATATAAGGTTAACAATGAAGACAACCAAAAAACTTACGTGTGAATGGTCAGATACAGACGCATCAGTTCCACAAATTCTGGATTGTCAAATCCCAGCATTGAACAGTAGTTCCAACTCCAATCTTTCTTCTTGTCAATGGGGTCTGGTGGGTTACCATCCCTATACAGGTTGCGATAAATGATTGCTGCCACAGTGGGAAGTTTGGCAATCAAGTCCATGGAGTCTTCATAACAAAGCTACAGAAACAAACAAAAATGTAAGATCAAAATATTTATTTTTAAAAAAATTACAAAACATGAGCTCAAATAATTGGAATGTATGCATAAGAAGAAGCAGGTTGGCTGAGTTTATAAAGTAATTAGTAATACATCTCTCAAGAGCAAATAAAGTTTAATCTCATTTTAAAATGCGCTTCGCGCTGACCATTATCAGAAGTGAATTTATTTATAAAGTTCAGTGAAGGCCAACTACGATCGACCAACAATTTCTATATCGCGTGTGCGTCTAAAATATATCAAGGCCAAACACCCTAACTGCAGTGCCTGCTATGAACTTGCTTTTACCCTTAAGCTACACTGAAATAAACCAATGTACAACAATACCGACAACATAAATGCAACAAAAGTGATCCTGTACACTTAAATCTTCTTTCTCGACTCATTAGCATACATAATATTTGAGTTTTGATGACAAGAAGTCTTTGGGCAGTGGCCACTACGCCTATGTAACAGCTTTGATACTGGCTGCAACTGCATAATCTGTAGAGGTGGTGGGTATGACTATATTTACAACAACAAGACAGAGATATCAGGGGTGAAAAATAGCTCTTTAACTGATGTAATTATAGATTCACAGTGATGTCTCTTTGCTCACACTGTATTTTCAACAAAACCATTGTTTTCGTTTATCGAAGGGAACAAAAAGGTAATTCTTTATTACGTTCGAGTTATTCCAGTCAAGGACAAAAATTACTTGTGCTCTAAACAGTTTATCTGAAGCGGAGGAAAATGAAAATTTCTTATTTTATCAACCTGACGGTGGCAAAGAAGCTGTGGCCTTCATGCTTGCCTGTCTTCTTGATGGTCCACGAGTTTGATTCCCTAAATTTTTCATAAAAAATTACAAAGACTGCTAATTTCTTTCAGTTCTTGAGTTTCAGAAAATAATAAGGATGCTTTTTTTAAAATGAAATATGGGAAAAAATTGGCGATTTTTCTTTTATGATTCTTACCAGGCAAAAGTGAGTGATCTATTTAGCCTCAATTTCAGAATTCCTAAAACCGAAAAGAGACTAGGTGTATTTCCATGTTTATTAACCAAATATGACCCTTATCTAGTCTTTTTCCTTTAAACAAAACCTGCTTTTATACTCAAATGCTTTCTTTCACAAAAAACAGCTCAATGAAACTGTAGTCTGTTACCTCCCAGTATTTCGATTTGTGAACACCTTCCGAATATGCCTTGGCAAATTTGCTTTCTGAGTTCATGGCCGTAACAGCTGCACTGAACTGTGACATTGGATGCAACTTGCTGGGAAAATTGTTCAGCATTGTGATGACATGGTTGGGGATCTCTGCCCGCTCATTCCATTCCTGGATATTGTAAAGAAAAACACAATTTTAAACAACAATACAGCCACAACTGACAGCCATATAAATTAAGCATGGACAACAAACACAGGGTGGAAACACTGTAATATAAATATAAGGGTAATGTATAAAATTAATGACATTTTATTAATGTCAAGAGAGACAACATTTAACAATAACACTGCAATTACAGAACATCTGTATTTAAAGAAATGTGTTTAGTAAACAGGTATTTAAGCTTCAACGAATGTGTCTGATACTAATCTTCATATATTCTTCAGACCCTGACCTATTTAGAAATATATTACTTGGCAGATCATCCGGACAATTCAGCCTATAAGTGCTCAAACACCATCCTCAGTATATCTCTCAGTGTTTGGCAGTTGATATAAGTTTTGTGTTGGTTTATTATTATTCTTTGGCCTCCTGCACAGTACTTGTATGGGGCCTCATCCCTTAAAACTTGCTGTTTTTGTCATCTGTTCAAAATTGCAGTTGTGCATATTTACAAATGACTAAGTCAAAACACTGAGCTTTTTTTTCTTCAATTTTTTTTCCTATCAAACTTTTCAGGAAAAACGTGCCAAACATTTAATCACAAATAGGGTTGTGCATCTGAGGTCGCCACTGGTCCCGCACAGCTTCTCTTGTACTGAGCTCCCATGGACAAGATCCAGTCTTTGCTGGAAGTAGTTTAGGCAGTCCTGCATTAAATGCTCAGGAGTGTCTTTCTGCTCCACAATCGCAGGCAGCAGATTCTTTTATGTCTATCCTGTGCAGGTGTGCTCTAAGACCAGTGTCCTGAATGAAGCCTAAAAACTTATGTTTGTTCTTTCCTTTTGAGTTTATGTTGTCACTCAGGCAGTACTAAATAAACCTACTTTATACAAAGCCATAATTAAATAACAATAATAAATCTTGCATCTATTCAATTAATTCAACCTTATTAAAGAGAAAGTATTATTATAATTGTGATCCCTGTGTGCGCCCCTGGGCAAGAGGCCAAATGGGGTGGGGGATAGACCCACTGTCCCCCTTCCCAACCATGTCGGGGAAAAGTCAAATAATTAGGGTGTTTTTATAAACAGTCTGAGTATACCTGTCTGATGAGGAAACAAAAGTGCATACAAATAAGTCAGATCTGTGAAATGGATGTGCATGCAAAACTCAAGTTTTGGAGCAAGATTTAAGTCCAGAAATGATAAGTAGGTTAATGTAATGAAGAAATAAGACAAGCCATGTGTGGAGTTGAATAAAGCACCCAGATAAGTTACTGTTATTACTAAACAAGTGTAGACAATATGTTTTACACACAACCATGCAATATTATAACCTTTGTAATGGCTGCAGCTTGCTCCTGTGTGGGGATATCACCGGTTACCAGTAACCAAAAGAGACCTTCTGGCAGAGGCTTTCATAACAGATGTTTAAACCAAGTTTAATAATCATTAAGTGCCTTGCCGACTGGCGTGGGTTTCCATTCTTCTCCACAATTGCGAGTACAAGTTCATGTGCTGACACACTTCCATGCCATGACAAAAGGCTGTCAAGGATCTTCTCACACTGTCTCCCTCTGTCTCTCTTTCCACAGATCTTTCCAGTGGTCATAACATGTTCTAGTTCCCCCTCTTGTCATAACATGACCAAAAAATGATGACTGTCTCTCTCTGTTTGTGATGAGTTGTCTTCTAGCACACTCCTGTTTCAAAACATCTGGGTTTCACTTCTTAGCTGTCCAAGGAATTCTAAGGGTTCTTCTGTAAAACCACATCACTGAGGCCTCAATACTGTTCAGCTTGGATTCACAGCCATATGTTAAAACTGGCTCTATATATCATGCAAGAATTCTTTCTAACCTCCAATGACATGAGTTATTGCACACAATTTTCTTTCATAAAAGGCAGTTCTGGCCTGTCCTATTCTGTTCTTTATCTGTAAATCATCTTTCAATGCATGTTGTCTAGCCCAGATATTTACATTTCTGTAGTTGTCATAAAAAAAACACTTGACTTGATGTGGTATTATCTGACTGTTGCCAATTATTTATGTAGTCTTAAAAAATACTAGCTTTCTCCCTTTGCTTACATCTACCACATAAAAGCTAATGAACAAAACACGTCTTAGAATGAGTTAAACAGATTTTTAAAACAAAATGTTCAGCAAATGTACATCAATCATCCTTACCATATCAACTGTAACTTCTCCAACTTTGGTATTTCCATGCTGTTTTCTAAACTCAATAACCTCTTTCTGTTTCTCTGGGATGATTTTCTCCAAAACCTCTTTCAAGTTCTGCAATTATAACAAAAAATGACAGTTTTACTAAAAATTTACTATCTACTATCACCTTGTTAATAATGCTCTTCTAGCCAAAACGTCAAGACGGTGATGTCTAATCTTGACGTCTGATTCCCCACTGTTTCCACACACACACACTTTTTTTAAAGGAATATGCTGGCATTGTTTCGTGTTCTAGTTGAACCCGTACATTTTAGGATCCAAACAATGATTTAAAACTGAGGCCACAGTCAATCCTCCTTTCATTATCCATATCCACTAGTGGGTAATAGGGTCCCATTGGGCGAGGGACTCACTGCCCCCTAACAAGCATGTTGTATAAGGTAACTAATTAGAGATTTTCTGAAATTTGATGTGTGGGGGTGAAAAGCACAGATATGCAGTATAGCTATAAGCCACAATACAACCTGCCAGCTGCAATTTTTAGGGTGAAAGCAGAAGGTGTTGATGAATTATCAAGAACATCAAAAATGTCCCCACAGCAAAATGAACAAGATATTAGAATAAAGCAAAACCCTGACAGATTACTGCCACTACATCTTGTGACCTGCTTAGAATTTTTCTGCCTTCCATATTTCTAGAATACAACTATGGATGTATTGAAAATGAAATTGTCATATAACTAATGATGTAAATGAATACTTACTGTAGTGCTGCTTAACTGTCTACTGCCTAAAGTAGCTGTTGGTCCTTGTATGCTCTGAAATAAAAATGTATGTTTTAACTAACACTACACTTGAAATACCTACAGATATTAATGAATGGCACATATATATACACACATACACATATATTTATACTTATATAAAGTCCATTTTTCTATCGTTGGCACACTGGACTTAGTGTGCTAGGATATTACCTGGTGTCCACTTTAGACTGGATCGACATGGGAGCAATTCATGAAAATTTATTTAAAAAATTAAAGTAAAAGCAATAAGTTTAGAAATTACCATTGAATTATGCTCAACAATGCTCACATAAAATGTAACCCTATCTTGCAAAGAAATTATACAGCAAATTTTTAAAACTTGAACAACTGTACAAGAAATCTAAAGAGGCAACTTGAATTCTAAGAAAAACATTCTCACATCTACTACTGTACCAGATAGATGCAAGAGCGGCAAAGGTGGCTGCCCAAATGAGACTACTCCAGTGAGTGCCATCCCACTGTGAGGATAAACTTGCTAAGAAAAGAGGAGAATGTAAACAGGAAGAAAATGCAATAACTTGCTTAGAGAAAAAAAGTCAGTAAAAAAAGGCCATCCAGTCTATCAGACATAAATAGAATCTGGCCAGAGATGACTTCCATTTACTTGACCAACATGGGCAGGTCATATTATTTTACCCCTCAGGAAAGGACACACCTCAATGCCATGCAACAAGACTGTCAAGCATCTTCTCTCGTTGTCTTCCTCTATCCCTCCTTCCACAGATCTTTCGAGTGGTCACAACATGTTCTATTTTCCCTCTTCTCATAACATGGCCGAAAAACGGTGACTGTCTCGTTCTGATGTTTGTGATAAGTTGCCTTCGGGCTACTGCCTCCCGAAGAACTATAATGTTAGTATAAAACTGTGCACTGACCAGAGGTAGTATAGTGGCCTGCAGGCCCAAATGTCTTGGGTTCGAATCAGCATCATTGCAGATTTTTTTAAACTGACCTTGGCTGCCAGGTCAATACAGTCTATAATCAGGGTTGCAGGACACTGATTCAAGGACTTGTCTGCTAGACCAAAATGCAAGCACCTTAGCCAGTGCCCTGTTGCAGCTCTCTACTATTAAAATCACAGGTAACCCAATACACATTTAACGTCAGCCTACACATATGATGCTGTTGGATCACTATAAGATCAGTGACATGGAAGAATTTATCAACACACCTGACAAGAACACCAAAAACCTCAGATTTGTAACAAGCATGCATTGATTTCTGATTACTCAACTCTTTTAATCATAGCATATTAAAGACAGAGACCTTATCATTTGTATATCTTTGACCAGCAGACAAAATAATACTACCAGACAGCTGACACTGTGTGACTACATGTTGGCTAAAAACGGACTTAACAAATAAACTGTTATCCACTTTTATTTCTGTGTTTGGTTAGCTATCAGGTGGACAGCGAAGTAATGTACGCTGTTTTGGTGAGCGGGTGTAAACAGACTGAATAACACCGCCTTTAAAGGATGCCGCAGAAGCAAAAGATTGCATTGTTTAGCTGTTTGAGATTTCACTAGACAATTTAGGTTAAGCAGTTCCCCGTTGACACTGACAGTTCGGATCTTGATACTACTGCTGAGACAAATATAAAGGAGGTCTGCTGCCAAATGACCTGCCGCTGGGAACGAAACCAGCACCTCGTAATAACGAGGCACATTTGCAACGCCTAAGTCACAGACCCGGTGGGGGGGGGGGAATAAAAGTAAAGGACCTTTTGCGGTGCCTTCATGTGTCTTGGGCATATAGGGCTAGACCTATGTTTCATCGGTACTCGGTGGGTGATGGGATCAACATCACGCCGACCGCCTTTATTTCCCAAGAAAATAGTCCAGCCCGACCCACGACCTTCGGGTCCGCAGGCGAACATCTAGACGGCGGCTTTCGAGAGGGGGAGGGGTGTGTTTGACGTTGCTTTACAACTATTTTTGTATCGGGGCACCAACACAAAGATAACAAGAGGGGAAGAGAAAAGCTGGGTGGGGGACCAAGGGTTCTACCCAATTATACATTTTGTAACGGCGTGGGGGAGGGGGCGAGGAGAGTTCAAAGACTAAACCTTCGTTAAGTTGATAACACTGATAAAGGGGTCGACTCAGCCTTAAATAGGCACCAGACATGGGAAGTAAAGGAGGCCGGCGTGATAGTGACCACATCACCCACGGAGTGCCCATAGGTCTGTAAAATATAGATCTAGCCTTATATGCCTTTAACATCGAAAGACATGGACAATGATCCTTTACTTTAACGATGATTATGATAACAATTATTTGCTGAATGACAAATAGCTATAAAGAAATAAGGGGGAAAATACTCAATGTATAAGCAAATGTCTAATAACCAGAGCTTCTATTCTTGGTTAAGGGGTCAGTTACTCACCTTACGAATTGTCTAGGGGTTCGAAAGAGCTCGTGGCGCGGTGATTTCGGTCACAGGCATGAGGCAAAGTTAAGTCTGATGTGAGGTGTATAAGGAGATACTCCGTACCCCACTCGGGCGCCAGTCCTTCACTATTCTGGTTTTACGGAACCTCATGCAAGACTCCTGTTGCACGTCCCCGTCGTGCGCCACGGATAATGTCTCAAATGAGCATTAACAGAGTTGGCAGGGGATCTCGGAGCTGGCGGCCCCTAGAGGTGTAGTGTCCTTTCTGGCTCTCACCAGCCCTCCCCCAAACGCTTGGGTGAAAAGTCTAACAAAACTCAAAGTTGCTTGCTAAATGTACCATCAAATGACAACTCTTTGTTAAAATTCGGGAGGGAATTCAAAACCATGCTGCTGAGACTCAACCCTGACCGAGAGATTTACCCGCAGCCAAGACGAGTAACATCTCTTGTGGGCGACTTCTCGCAGCAAGATGCTACCCACGTACATCCTCAATCCTCAGTGTCGTCGTCACCGCGCTGAGGTACACCACGGCAGCAACTTTTCATATGCTGGCTTGGAAATAATGTCCGACAAAGTTATACCCCACGGCACACATGCAAGCTCAGAGTCCGACGATCATAATTCATACCGATTAGGAAAAAGTCCGAATGTCCGTATCCACTGGTCCAACTCGCCCGAGTGTTGGAACCAAACAGGTGAAGCCACGCCTGACGCATTTTGCTTCTCCATTCTGTCGTGCTGAGGGCACAGCTGAAACAACGTTAAAGGTGTCTAACGTAAGATGAAAAAGAATGTACCTATTTGTGTGGCCACAAACGTCCTAGACCTGCGGGCTGCTCCCCGCTGATCTCTGGAGAGCGCAGCCTTGTAGCGCGGGAAGCTCAATACACGGTTGTGAGGTTAAGCAGTCACGGGCAGGACGTGACGATTCCTTGGGTAAGCCCAGAACCAGAGCGTCATGCTTCGGCTCTGCATTTATGGAAGCCTCCTTGGATGGCGGGGAATGCCCATGATCTGCCCCTGCCTTCCCTTGAGTGCTGAAAACTCTACATAGAGCTGCCTTATGGACGACATGCCGGGGGCCACACCTGTTAAAAGTCAAAGAGGACACCACACAAATAAGGCAACATCTCGACCCACACAAAACAATGGCCACAGTCAACCTAGAAATAGGCTTGACGTCTTCCTCCGAAGACGGAGTACATCTGCCGGAGAGGCGGGGAACGAGTACTGCAAACAAATAAGCCAGTAAAACGGATGTAGACGCAAAACTCAGGTCAAGGTAAAAGCCAAAAGTCCATTTTGGACGAACAACCGTGACTTACCGCCGGAATTCACAGCTGGTGAACAAGAAGAAGAAAAGAAGAAAGAGCTCAGCCTCTTCTAAAATTGTTGGGGTTTGGGGTCTCACAGAACCTACACCCCTAGGTTACGGCACCCCTGGTCGGCAGTTGTCTGTCCGTGTCCTGTTCAATTATTTTCCTTACCATATTTTTACCATTCCTTGCCGTTTGCTCAAACAATAGTCCCATCACGTAGTAGGTCTTCCGCAGAACGTCGCCCTCATCACAGCCTGCCTGCAGTAAACTAGATATCTCGCCAACACTACAGCCTCAAGTACTTTCCTACCAAAAGTGTCCCTTATATCAGGTGCCCATCTTCGTGCTGGTCGACCCCTGTCCCTTTTTCTTGACATCATGCCTTCTGCTTCTATTCTTTCTAGTCTGCCTTCAGTTTTCGATGCTTCAGTTTTCGAAACAAGAAGCTGCTTGCTAGTCAATCGTCTTTGATGTTAAGTACTCACATAGTATAAAAACAAACCATAACAATAACAACGTTGGGCATTTCACCACCTCCGCAATTCGTTTCTAAATAATAATACTGCATGAAAAAGTAACGGACCAACTTCCAATCCACGAGAAGTATTTGAGTTGTGGTGCTAACCCGATATTTCGGAATGGGCACTTGATTTACGTGTTACCTTGGGATACATCTTGATCGAAGCCTTGCTTATACTGAGCACATTGATCAGATTATAATAAAAACCAAGCGGGGTCTGGCTGCGATGAGAGTGATGGCGGCGGCAAACTGTGAGCAGCGTCATCTATGTCTTCTATACCAGGATCTGGTCCTTTCTGTTTTTGAATACACGACGGCGATCCTGACTCTCAGCCATAAGCAGATGGACAGGATGGAAAGGATACAGAACGATGCTATGCGTATTATACTTGGGTGTACAAGAGATACAGTATGCAGAGCGATGATCTACCTTCTCGATTTTCCAACCATTAAAGACATCATACAAATTGCCCGAGCTTGTGCCTAACTCACTGTCAAGGTGGACACACAGCATCCATTACATAGTCAAATCAAGAAGATAAAAGGCAGCAGGTTAAAAAGAGGCAAATCATGGATGGATCAAGCCGAGGACATTATTTTACAAGTATGTTCATTTGAGGAGTGGGTGCAAGTGACTTCAGAGTGCTGTACATCATTTTCTGTTTGCATCCAACCTGACAGAAAATGCAGACAACAGAGTCCGGCTGCTGTGGAAGCAGAAGTTCAAGCCTTTATTTTCGAGAACGCTCTAGAGGGTGATGCTGTCATTTACACAGATGGTTCTGTAATCCGCCATTAGACGCTCGTGGGCTTTCACGCTCAGTTTGGAGGGAGAGTTGTGAAGGAAGATTCTGGAGCTTTTGCCGTAACTACAAGTAGTCTGACAATGGAGGTTATGGCTGTGACTGAAGCAGTAACATGGCTAGAGACCTAGACTTTCACTGGGGCATGCTTTCTCAGTGACTCGATGAGTATGCTCGGGAAGATAGAGACGGACTGGGTCCAAAGGCAGTGGTTGGTGGCTCTACAGAATTCACGGCTGACAAGGATTAGTTTCATTTTCGTGCCAGGACATGTGGGGGTACAAGGAAAGGAGAAAGCTGATAGGCTTGCAGGTAAGGCTATTGTAAAAGCCGGACAAGCCATGGACCAGGCTGATATACTGAATGCTCTAAGAGAGTTAAGACGTTTGCATGAGCCAACTGAGAACTTTGAATCTGCAACCATGGTCAGACTGCAAGAGCAACATGTTAAACGTGGTGTTGCCAAACAAGAACATTACGTGGCTAGCCAAAGAATAAGAATAAACCAACATAGAACTGGTGTAGTTAGCCGCTACACGCTGTGGGATTTACTGAGCAGGGGATACCAGCACTTATGGTTCGACGTGCAATGAGGATAAACTAACTAACTATATAACTTAATTCGAATGCAGAGTCTGTCCTTAGGCTTTGCGAGCACGATTCGCAACTCAGAAGTGCCAGATTCGATTCCAGCTACGGACTATTTGGCAGCAGACCACCTTGCGCTGGCTTCAACATTGGTGTCGAGTGCCGATCGTTTAGTGAGCAATGACAAGCTACATAATATACAATTGCCTATTGAAATCACGAACAGCCAAAAATGCTGGAGTTGGCTCTACGACACCCCATAAAGGTTTCTAAAATAACTTTTCTTTTAACAATTTATCTATTTTCCAGCTGCATACTATTTGTCTTGCGTTAATTTCGACAGCCGTACTGAGAGCTGACCGTTGAGAAGGCAATGGCAAACTACTGAAGGTCAAATGTGCCTAAAAAAACTACAACAACCAAAAATGTTGGTGTTGATTCTTCGTCCTATAAAGGATACGTAACTAACTTATTCTCTAGAACATAGCTATTTAACTAGGTTTACTCAGGGGCCAACATTTTGAAAATGGGCATTGTCACGGACCAAAAGGCCCGGCCCCACCATAGAAAGATCATTAATACATAACACAACCCGAGGGCCACTTGCCAGACTTTGCTGGCCAGAGCTGGCCTGCGGGGCGCCAGCAGAACAGCCTTGTTCTAGACTACAACATGGAAAGATATAAAAACGAACGAAAAGTATATCAGCGAGCTGCTACCTTTCTTTTAAAGATTGAATTTTCACGTACTAGTTCCGGTAGGTCACATTTTCGTGGTAAAAAGAATAGACCCTATGCCTTTTTTTATAAGCATGTCATAAAAGGCGACTAAATATGGGTTTGCTGTAAAAGGATGTTTTGGGCTGTCGGGAGCAGAAAATCCAGCCTAAGTGTAAACAACGTTAAAACTGCGTTCAAGAAGAAGACAGATAGGAGAAGTAGACCAAAAATATAGGCGGAACTGTTAGAAGAAGCTAGCAGCAGTCTGAAAGTCAAGCTTTTCTTTTTTTTTCTCAAAAGGACTTGGAGAAGAAGAAGAAGAAGAAGAAGAAGAAGAAGAAGAATAAGCAGAAGGAAGCTGTAAAAGAAGCTGTCGGGAGCAGATATTCCAGCCTAAGAAGAAGAAGAAGAAGAAGAAGAAGAAGAAGAAGAAGAAGAAGAAGAAGAAGAAGAAGAAGAAGAAGAAGAAGAAGAAGAAGAAGAAGAAGAAGAAGAAGAAGAAGAAGACAGTTTTTATCAGAGGAGAATCCAACTCCGTCAAAAAATATCGGTTCAGTTGGGATTTCAACACAATAACCACCCGGCCGGTCAGAAACTGCGCCAACAAGTCAGTTTTATTGTATAATTTAAGTCCTTGGGTCTCCGTTCAGTTTACGAGTGCATTATTAAAAGGGATCGTTGCCGGAGCAGTGAATGTCGTACTCTGTGAGATGCTTTTGGCAGGCGGCTAGCTGTTCTGCGGAGAGAGACTGAGCCATATGAGATATAACCCGGTGCAATGAAGTCGATACTCTCACCTTACTCTTTTACCGCTAGTCCTTAACTACACAGGGCTTCAAGTTACTGACTAGTGTATCCGTTATGAGTCGAAAGTCCCTTTTCTAAGCCTTTAGGCGTATTAGGAATATAGGGCTTGACCTAAATTTTTATAGACCAATCGGCGCTTGGTGGGTGATGTAGCCGTTATGGGTACCCTAATTATAACTTGTTTTCAGGTTAAACGGTTTATCTAGGATCTGCCTTGTTGGTATGTCACGCAGACTGAGATTCTTTTCTCTCAGTATTATATAACAGACCTTTAGGCAGCAACCCGGGAGAAACGAACTGATCGATCGATTGCGTAATTTGTAGGTTACAGTGAACAAAGCTTGGTTCACAAGTTACTGGTTCTGTTATCAGCAAAGCATGATTGGTGAAAAAGTAGACGTTGCAATAAAAATTATTAGCCTTGATTAGTGAGGACTATTATCACAAACTCCGGACAGATTCATAGGTGCTCCGATCTCCTCACCAGAAGCTCTTTTAAAGAGTAAAATCACGCCCATTCTATGTTGATTATCTGACGCCCCATGCCTTTGGTGAAATGTTCCTGTATGGCTGCTCCAAAAAAATTGCGTCCAATATTAGGGCGAGATTATCCAAAGTCTATACATGGTTAGGGCAACCATTATGTCTTTGTGGTAATCCGCCCTAATATGGGACGCATTTTTTGGGGTTATTTTAAATCCCACCGCGGCTGCCAACGAGGGTCCCACATATAACCTACCGACTGATTGGGGTTTCTGGGACTGCGTCGGGGCGATTCTCCTTCGAATCGTGGCACTTTGTGTCACCATGTGTTTGTCGCTAGTTGTATCGTCCTGGTTGGGTTGAACGTCACTCAATCACTCACTCAGCCACCCTTGCACATTTGTTGGATGGTTTGCGTGGGGAGAAGGGGGTGTCCAGGCGATTATATCCCTCTCCCTCCAAATTTTTTTTGTAAAATGGGGGACTCAAGATGCCTGGGCCGTTAGGTTTCGGCACCCCTGTATTAGGATGCCGTGAGTGACGTTCTGCATGAGGGTTTTATTACAATCGAATACCATTATAACGTTTGTTATGTGTAGCGTCGATATATAGAACAGGGGATATAACTGCTATTTTTATTTCGCTGAGTTGAACAGAATTGAGGCCCGCTACCATAAAGTTTACTTTGTTTCAAAATGGCGAACAGGTCTGGCATTGCTGTGTCCAGCTCACGATTTGCTTGTTTGCGTATTGAAGACGACGATGAGAATGAAAGCAAACAGTCAATGAAACCTAAACAAGAGAAAAACGCCAATAGCACGGCTGCTGCAAAGAAAAAGAATAAAAAGAAAAAGGAAGCCAACGAGACAGAAAAGGTTTCTGTGATTATTATATTACCACCTTTCAACTTATTTTCATTGTTTCATAATGATTTGGTTTCATTTTTGATTTTAGCTGAGTAGTGTCATTTTTATTATATTATAGTTGTTTCAGTCAAAAATTATATTTGCACCGTATTATGAATAATTAACCTTAAAATAAACAGTAAAATAAAAATTGTTTAGGATGTAATAGAAATTACCTATACAAACTAGAAATGTAAATGTCTCATCTGTATAAAAATATTTAAAGTATTAAAGATCTATAAAAATTATTTAAACATCCAGACACCTCCTTAGTTATGGTTAGGCTTTGGACCTTTGGCCTTTGCATGTCAAAGTGTAGAATGATACAATTTTGAGTCTCTTCAGTGAGCTGAGTATTAGAGTTTATCATATTGTTTTCAAGGCAGGCTGAAATACTCGGCTATCCTCCGAATAATGGACACAAAAGATGGCGGCCAAAAACAGGGCCTCAGTCACGTGTCAATTGCGCACTTCCGGCGACCTAATTTGCTGTTTTCCGGCGACTACTGCCACCGCTAAGAGTATCCCACATGCGGCGTGGATTGGGGCTAAACTAGATGGCTAGGACTCACGAGCAAAGCTGCAGGAGATGCGGAAGCGGCTGCTCGTGAGTCCCAGCCATCAAGTTTAGCACCAATCCACGCAGCGCGAGCAGCGTGGGGGATACTCTCGGCGGTGGCGGTAGTTGCTGGAAAACTGCAACTGCAAATTAGGTCGCCGGAAGTGGGCAGTTGACACGTGACTGAGGCTCTGTTAGGGTGTTTTTGTCTGCCCTTGCCCCTTTTTCCACTGATCTTTCCAATTGTCGCAATGTTCTCCAAAGTCTCTCTTCTCATTATGTGGCCAAAGAACAGTGTTTGTCTCTTTCTTATTGTTTTTGTAAATAGAGATCTTCTTTCATTAGCAATCATTATTAGTTACTCTGGCCGTCCAAAGTATTCGTAACATTCGTCTCAGAAACCACAGCTTCCAAATTCTTCCTAGTTTGTTCACTAAAATTTTAAGATATGTATCATGCAACAGAACAGCTATGTAACATAACTGATACCTAATGTGATGTATGATCTCATGCTTGGCCTAAGCTTTATATAGAAACCTAGCTAAACACACTTCTCATGTGGGTTCCGGTGCTCATTTACAGGGAAAGAAAAATACAACCACTGCCTCCCTAACACGCATGTTGTAAGAGTAAACTAATTAGGGGTATCCTTCAGTGTTGGGGTGCATCTGCTAAGAGGAACCAGCAGTCTGTATACAGATAAGCAAAATTTAGAAAACAGGCCAGAAGTGCGCAAACAACTAGAAATTTCACCAGAGTTTACAGCCAGTGAATGCCAAGAAGATTAAAAAGCTAAAGTCAACTCTGGAAATGTTCAATTACATCTGTGACAGTAATATATTCATACTTTCTTTATATCTATTGTTCACTGTTATATCTATATTCCCCGTTTGGGCTCCGAGGCCCCATTGTGGGGAAAACAAGAATGTCGTAAGAGTCAGTTAACTGGGGGTTTCCTTCACAGTCGGAGTGCATCTGCCTGAGAGGCAAGGAACCAACAGTCTGTATACAAATAAGTTAGGTCTGTAAAACATATCTACATGTGATACTCAGGTTCTGGAACAAGTCTAAAGTCCAGAAGTGGACAAACAAGCAGAATTTTCCTCGTGAGTTTACAGTAGGTGAACCGAAGAAGAAGAAGTCTCCCTATGACATGTACTGTGAAACTTTCTGAGGCTAAAAGAGTTAGTAGTGTTAATTAGCCCCAAACTTTGTAGTGATCACATGCATCTGGGTAACATTGCATACTGAGATTACCATTGTCCATAATGGAATATGGGGTCCATTTAAAGTGTTTCTTTTATGTTATCATAATTGATGTCACTACACATTGGGCATTTCCTTATAAGCTTACACCTCTGATGCAGCAGCCACTACAAAGTTTCCACGAGGAGTTGATTATAATGTCTCCTATCTCGGCCTCGAAGGTGGCATAGGCATGCTTCACCATGCTTTACTCCCAGGTCACGAAATCATGTTAAGTGTCAGAGATGTGTCCTCATCTACTAACCTAGTCCGTACAACTTGGATGCTGTCTGCTCTGTCTATGCTTTTTCCCTGCATGTTTTGGTCTGCTCGCTCATTACTTTTTTATGCTGCCATGGCCGGGTGTCTAGATCCAGGTGAAGGAGGTTAAGCAAAATGTATGAATGCTTTCTTGGAAAGTGTATCCAACCTTAATTATACATATGGAAACTAATCAAGCATAGGAGGTATCTTGTGGCAGGAAGAGTATAGGGGTGTGTTAAATTCTTTTTTCCTACTCACATCAGTCATTGGATGCAAGATATACTTACACTGCCTACTATTACAGATAAGCTCAGAATGCTGCAGGCAAGTCACAGACAAGAAATACTTTCTGCATGAAACCCTAGAACGAACTAAGGGTCACGGACCGAAAAGAGGAATATGTTGAAAAGCCGAAGACACAGTTAGATATGTGTGCACTCTTGAAAATATTTTTTAATTGGGGTATAGGATGGGGGTTGGTTTCCAGCTGACAGTCAGAGTTATGTAGTGTTCTAGTCATGTGATTATCTCTAGACAGATGGCACTGTGTTGAAAGGCAGAAGGAGAACAAGGGGTTCATAGCAAAACTCATAGGCAACTCTTTATGCAACAAAACCTAGCATGTTCTTTTTGCCTCCGTTTGTGTTCCATTAGTGTTTCTTATCAGGCCTAGTTATATTCCGGATGGAAGTATAACTGTAAATATATTTCAGCTGAAGAACCTGGCATTCGGGAAAGTTGGAGGAGGTAGTGGAGGAAAAGGCCATCCACATAAAAATGTTGCTGGAGATGGGGGAGATGAGGGAAAAGCATGGAACTCATGGAAGGAACATGATAAGGAGGTATTATGTGAATGACATTGTAGTTTGCTATATTAGTTCATATTTTTTTTATAGAGTTTCACATCCGAGTTACATTTCACTTCTAAAAAATATGTATCTAGAATAATTTTCTATTGCATAACTCCATCTGTTGATTGCTGGAGTGCCGTGATACGTACATTTATAGTCAAGGTCTTCAAGAAATCTATATCTTCGGCAAAACATGTACATCTGAAAACTGCCATATACTGGGGACATATAAAACAGGTATTTAAAAAAAAAAGGAAGGGTCTTGAAATAACAATCTTAACATTTTGATAACAATTACAATGGCCGTGCCGCTGTCTTGAAGCCTGTCAGTATTGTTGTTATGAATATCAGTAGAGTTAAGCACATGGTATCATTGTGCAGACAAACAGGATGACATCATAATGACAGTTTAAAGATGGCTGTAATCATTTTTGACATGCATCAAAGAGGAGCAGCGTTGTTCAAACAGGCGAGGAGGGATGGCGCCAAGAAGTATCACTCTTTTTTTCCAACTGGTTGTAGTGATGCCAAGTTTCTTCCCCAGTGATAATTCATTATAGCACAACACCACCTTCTGCTTCCAAAGACCGCAGTTCTCGACAAACATCAGTGCTTCTTTGTTTAAATTCTGAAGTAAGCTGCCCTGGCACCCACCTTGCAGAAATTTTGCGGTACTGTGGCACATCATGGATGATGTGGTGTGCTGAACCTTGAATGATCTCAGGATGTGCGGCAGTGTCACTCAATCTGCCTAGCCAGAAAATGAAATGGTAGTCTTGTAGCAGATGCGTCCTTTGGGGTTTAGTGTGTTTAGCCTTTATTCTTTCATAATATGAAGAAAGTGACCAGTTCCATTTCTTGACACCTTTGCTTCCTAGACGATTCCCATAAAATTCTTGAACTTTTGTGCTATCCATTTTTCAGCTGAGCCAACTCCCACTTAAAAGGTTTGAAATGGCCACCCTGGAAATTTTTTTGGAAACCCTATCACCATGAGATGTGCAATACCGACACTTGCGTTTGGGTCCAGTTTCCCATAAATGTCACTTTTTTTTAAAAAAAAAACTTTTGCACAGTTATATGTTTATAAAAACAAACACAGATAATGTTATTGGTCGAATCTATGCCTGGGTAAAGGTTTAGGAGGTAATGATATCAATTTGTAGCTAAAAACAACATTTAGGGGTATTCTGTGAATACAAATTTTTTTTTTTAAACTAATCCATGGTTATATAAGATTTTCATGATAGACAAAAATGTTGGAAAGAGAAGACCAGTAACAGAGATGAATGGAGGCAGGTGATAACTGCAGCAGTAAACAGCTAGGGTTAGGAATGCTGAAGAAAAAGAAGTGATCAGTATGGCAGTATCATTCAGACAAAGAAGACAACTAAAACCATTACTCACTCATCTTCATCATGTAGCAGGTCCCTTGCAGAACGTCGGTCTCATCACGGTCTGCTTGAAAGAAACTCAGTCTCTCGCCATCTCTCCCGCCTCACGTACTTTCATACTCAAGGAGTCACTTATATCCTGTGCCAATCTTCTTCATGTTGGTCGGCTCCCGCCCCTCCTTTCTGGTACCATGCCTTCTGCTATTATTTTGTCCAATCCGTCGTGGCGCTTGATATGACCGAAATATTTTAGCTTCTGAGACAGGATGCTGATTATTAGCCAATCTTCCTTGATGTTCAGGAAGATTAACTCTATTAACACTACAAACTTTAATTAGAAAGTGACTATGCAGAACAGAATGAGACTACAATAGTATGATAAAACCACAAATGTGCTTGGGGACAAACTGCAGAAAACCAAGATGTGAGGAAAGTATGCTGGGCCTGGATATGGCACATAATGAGAAACCTGGTAATAGTATAACTAGAAAGATCTTTATTTGGAACCCACAAAGCATTTTTACTGTGCAGAAATATTTTCTTTTATTGTCTGTGCAAAATATTCTTGCCCTAACTCAGACCATTTTTTGAACATCATAGGCAGTGGAAGAACAGTTCAAAGATGACTTGGAAAAGGCTTTGCTTCAAAGTCGACTTGAAGCTGAGAAGAAACAGCAGGTATGACTTCCTCTTCTTGTCTTGGCATACACCAGCTATAAAGGCCACTGGAAAGTTCTGGTTGTTTGTTTGCTCATTTCTGGACTTCAGTCCTGTTCCAGAACTTGAGTATTGCATGCACATCCATTTTTCATATCTGCTTTTTTTAATGCACACTGTTGGTTCCTTTCCTCTCAGGCAGATGCACTCTTACTTCGAAGGAAACACCCTTAATTAATTTATTTTTAAATCATGCTTATTAGGAGGGCATGGGTCTCTTCCCCCCCCCCCCCCCCCCCTACAATGGGATCTCAGAACCCACACAGAGATGCAGGTATGACAGTGTTTCTTTTTTGTGCTTCATTCTTCACTGGAGTGAATGTAAAGGTTATCACCATAGAAGATGCTGCCATTGGGGTGTGAAGTCTTTGGACTTAACTTTTTTTAAAAGTCCCAACAGGTGGATGGCCAATGGCATTCCTCATCACCTTTCCTTCTCCCCTGACAATTCTAGAAAATTGTTTTACTACCCATTTTGAGGGGACTCAGATCAAACCTAAAAGTGTACCATGTACAAAACAAAATGCATCTGATGGGTATTTATAGCAGTGAGGAAGGAAGTTGTCTGACCAAACGGGTGAACTAACCTCTGTGCCACAATGCTGCATTGGAGTATAGGCCTCTAGTGCATGCCAAGCTATCGAAACTTATGATGCATCTCAGTTTTTGTAATCAGTTTTCTGGACTATGAAGACAGTTAACTTATAGCTAACTGTCAGTGTTTTTTCTTATTTTTGAAGCCATAAGATTGCAATATCTGCAACTTCTCTTAACAGTTTCATTTGCATCGTTTAACTGTCTTCTTCTTCGCTTCCTCTTTTACCGCTTTGGGTGTCGAGGGGAATATAAGGTTCTGCTTCTTGCTTGCCTGGTCGCCTCCACCATAGACACATGCTGTTGTAGAGTTTCTCTGATGTTGTCTTTCCATCTTGGTCTACCTCATGCTCTACTCCTTCTCCTCTTTTAGTATGGCATCGGAAGACATTCTAAATGGGCAGACCATTTGATTTGCTGTCTGTTTATGTAATTTTTGAATTCGTTCCTTGCCAACATTTTCTCTTATGACCTCTCTTCTGATTTTATCTCCTTTAATCACTCCTACAGCCCTTCTCAACATAACTTCATGATTTCATTTATGTGCTAATTAAATGGATGATCCTCATCATTTTGAATATGATAATATACATAAAAAATATAAATCAATGATACATTACTGTAATTTTTAACTATATAAAAAGACAGCAAGCTATCAGAATATGTATAATTGTGTGTGTGTAAAAGTATATACAATTTGTTACTTCAGCTTTATGTTTCTATAACACAAGGAGGCTAAGAAGTTGAAAGAAAGAATTGATGCTGGTTTGGAAGTACCGACTACAAGAGAAGGAAGGAAGAAGAAGAAGCAAAAAGAAAAACCACAACCTATGTCTTTAGAGCAGTTCAAACAGCTTCCACCAGACAGGCCGGTTGCTTCTGATGACTCTGAAGGTAACAAGGTTTTCATATTGATGATGCTTAAATAATAATTGCAAGCGTTTTTTCAGGACACAAACCATGCAGATTGTTTGCTTTTAATCAGTGACTGTTTTTTTTCATGTACCGAAAATAAGGCAATATGAAAACTAGATGTTTGTTTACATTATTAGAATATCATCACAAGGACATAATTATTAACAGGCTGCTTCCCTGTGTGGGTTTCTGAGCCCCATTGTGGGGAAAACAACAATAGACCCACTGCCTACCCAAAAGCATGTCTGAGAGGCAAGGAACCAGCAGACTGCATTCAAGTGAATCAGATCTGTAAAACTGATGCACATCCAACACTCAGGTTCTGGAGTAGGACTGCAGTTCAGAAGTGGTCGAACAACCAGAACTTTCCGCCAGAGTGTACAGCTGGTGAACATGATGAAGAAGAAGAAGAACAGACTGGCATGCCAGATTTCAACAGCTTACACCAAATGGTTACAGTTACAGATTTTCTGAGTTGGGCATGACTTCTGGAGTAGACTATTGTCATTGACTCTTTCAGTCCTAGGCATTTGTCACTGCAACACTTGACATCATAAAACTGTTGCTCTCATCATCGTGTGGCATGCCAGTAAGCCTAGGCTGTTATGTTTTGGCATCTCACACAATCACCAGAGTCACGGAGCAGTTCAGTGTTTTTGACTTGCCCCATCCGTCTGGCCAGGCCATCCATGTATTTATCCCTTTACCTTCCTATTGCTCTCTTTCCAGCAGTCTTGCTAGTTGTTAGCAATTCTTGAGTCCAGTCACTACGAAGACAGAGACAGTGGTGATAGGAAGACAAATTAGAAATAAAATTAAAAAACAACACCTTAAGACAAACAGAGGAATTTAAGTATTTGGGAGCAATTTTCACATCTGACGGAAAACTGGACGGAGAAATTAGCTCGAGATGTGCCAAAGTTAATCAAGTAATGGGGCAACTATCTTCCTGTTGACACACAAGCAGATACCCCGGACTACTAAAGTGAATCTTATCAGAACTATTTTTTGGCCAACACTATGCTATCAGTGCCAAATGTGGACGCTTACATCCTTCAATGAACTTAAAATTGTGACAACAGAGATGAAATGCCTTAGAAGAGCTGCAGGAGTTTCAAGGAAAGACAGAATACAAAATCAAGTAATCGGACAAATGCTAGGAATAAAGCCAGTCTTACAGGTCATCATAGAACAATAAATAAAGTGGTTTGGACACCTAACGACAATGTCCTGGTACTATCTGCCACAGTGAGCCACACTAACACATTACAACGGGTATAGAGCGATTGGAAGACCTCGGAAAAAATGGAGTGATGGCATTGAGAACAGCCTTACAGAGAAAATCAGTCTTAATAGTGCTCTTGACAGAGCTCATCAACGAATGTTACATCTCCCCTCGACACTTCAATGAGGTACAAGGTGGAAGAGAAGAAGAAAAAGGAGTCCATTCCTTCGAAAAAATATTGACCCTCTAATAATTATGGCTCCATAGAACTATAGTTTGTAAATCTTTAGGCATTTGAAAATACTGTTTTTAAACAGAAGTCCCCATGTGGGTTCTAGTGCCCAATTGTTGGGGGAAAAAGAATAGACCCATTGTCCACCCCCTCCCCCCATCCCCCCAACAATTCCTTCAAAGACAGTGGATCTGCCTGAGAGGTACGTATTAGCAGTCTGCACACAAATAAACCAAATCTGTCAAACAGATGTGCACACAAAAGTGAAGTTCTGAAATAAGTCTAAAGTTCAGAAGTTGACGAACAGCTAGACCTTTCTGCTGGAGCTCATAGCTAGTGAACGCACAGAAGAAGAAACAGATGTTACAGTAACAGGTGAAAATGATGGATTAACAAAGCAGAAAAATGAACCGGGAACCGTTTAGAAATGGTACCATTTATTGAGTATCTAGTGAACAGATGGTGAGTTCTTTGGCACTGAAAGAGTTAACTCAGTGATCTTGTTGTTGCAGATGAAGTAAATGGCCATCCTGTGGTCCCGCAGGTTCAGACATCATTGCCTCCATCACAACAGGACCCAAAGTTTTTTAATTCCATTCAGGAGGACGCTGAACAAATTTTGAAGCATGAGAAAATTCAAGAAGAGTATCGGAAGGTTGTCATTTTTTTTTCAACATTTTCATTTTCATGATAAATTTATGAACTTAAATTGTGCAGAAACCTTCTTAGATCACCGTTAATCAAGCAGAAGAAAAATATTAACTTTTTACAAGATCTGAAAAATGCTGCTCATAAACATCATGTTTGGGGAAACTGACATACTTCATCCATGTTAAACACTTATTCTCTTATATGTCACTTGTGTGCTTCATTGATTCCAAGAGCTGTGGTGACAATAGTTTAGTTGTTAGATGTGGTTTCAACTTCACTGGGTTGCCCCACAGCAGCTGTTTCTGTGCCAGTGGAAATCACACAAAATGTCCTTCACTGTCCTGCCTGGATAAAAAGAAACAAAAAAGTCAGTCCCAGCATGATCTTGAAGTTCGCACCCGCAAAGTAAATGCATTAGGCAGTAGTCAAAAGTTGCTGGTTGCCTTTCAGTTTAAGGAAGAGGAAAAGGGGGATGCACACCTGCTGCCTTGCAGGTAGAGTGAGGTCAACAAACATTCAGCGAAAGCACACCTGAAAAAAACGCTTGTCCTAATTGTCTGCACTGAGCCGCAGGTTTAACGAGAAAGGCAACTTTACTGGCCTTATGATGATGTGCTGCAGTGGTTTAGCAGAAACAGTGCATAGCTATTGGAAAAATAAGCAGGGATTGATACATTTGAAGATGGAAACAAGACATTGGAGACATATTTTGCATGAAAATGTTGGAGGCAGGGAAATTGGCAGCGGCCAAGAATTTTCTGGCAGGCAGTGATGGGTATTCTCACAAATGGATGAGGAAACAAGGATGTCCAAGAGAAACCCTAAAATGTATGTTGATCAGAAGAATCAAAGGTGCTGGACTTGATCCCATCCGTGATTGAAAGGATTGCACAGGATAAATTGGCACAGAGGAGTAGACAGCAAGCCCTGTGTGACATATACGGGTACAACATGATAATGATGCAATGGTATTTTATGATGAATATGATACAGTTTAATCAGTTTATGTTATGAGCCATGACAGGAAACTTGCTTACTAGAATACAGTGGTCTGGTTTTAGTCCTCAGAAGTGGAAGACTGACCCAACCCTGCCAGGAGAACATCATGATGTAAACTTGATGGCTTGAAGTAAACACAGCTGGTCTGATTCGGTCACTTTTTCCATATTGGTGTCAGGGCTCCATGGGAAGAGGGGGGGGGGGGGGGGTGAATGCTAAAAAGAAGAAGAAGATAATATTGATCATAAGCTATTCCTCCCCTTGGGAGTTCTGGTACTTCATTCTGTATAGGGAAAAAATAGAAAAAAGCTCATTGCTCTTTAGCAAGCATGTTGTAAGAGGCAACTAAGTTGGGTTTTACTGAAATCAGTTGTGATGGGTCATAACGTGCAGATATTGCAGCCTGGATGTAAACCACAACACAATTTGCCAGCACAGTTGAAATAGCAGTATGCTATTCATACTTGGATATATGGTCTATTTTCCTTGATTTTTGTAGATAACAGCTTTTATGGCCCTGTGCTCCAGAAGGACATCAAGACACGATAGTGATTATTTTTATGTTGTACATAACAGAAAAGCATGTACATTTTACCAATGTATTTAAAATTTAGAATCTCTTTTCAGCAATACACTTCTGACAGTGTAATTGTGGCGAAGTTAAAAGCTGATCTGGAGAAGAAGGATGAAGAGCTGCAACAAATAAAAGCTAAAGTTGAATCTATGGAGGTAAGCTCTGTTTGGGACCATGCAGTTTGGAGTTAATATCATGCACATATTACCATGAGAAAGGTTATATGTTTGCACATTTATAAGTTTATAGCAATTTTAGTTGGTGGTAAAATCAGCTTTCTTTCTAGCCAATGTCTTGGATAAATCTCTGGTAGTCCTGTTATAAAAGGAGTGGCTGGCTGAATGGTTAAAATGCAGGGGTCTCCTGCAGCAGAACTGGGTTTGAACTCTCTGTAAGAAAATGTTTTTCCTGTTAGTGGCAAAAATAAAAACCTAACCTTTACAATTCATGGCAACTGCGCCAGAAGTGCAACCATGAATACTTAAGCTCAGTATCATCAGAATTATCATCATCATCAGTTTCCACTTTTGCCGTTAAGTGTTGTGGGGAGGAACAATATGCAATCCATTATGTGATGGGTAGCAGAAGCTATGGTCATTCCATGTCGATGTAGAAGCTCTTTACCATCAACCTGTCTTCTAACGCTTTCACATCATATATTAAGCTGGTAGGCAGGCATTTAGCCACTGTGTTGCTTGTGCCTCCCCAGGCTCAATAACGATGGGGGTATAGAGGGCGCTGAAAGAAGTTTGGATCTGAGACCTATCTCCTTTCACCTAGGAAAATCTTCAGAAAAGGCGCCTGGAATACTAAAACTACATGGAGGGAGCTGCGAGGAGTGGTAAAGGATAGCCTTTATCATGCTTCCTTCCTCCAGATTTTACTGCAAGGCAATTTGATGATGGCTGTGGGTCTGTTCTAAGGATTATATTCAATCCTTTTTCACTGTCTTGTCATATGTTTTGCCCTTGGTTCCTGCCAAGCATTTTTTAAACTGTAAATTAACTTCATGGTGTGTCTTCTTTTTCTTCTTCTTCTTCTGCTGCGTTCATCTAAGGATGTAAATACAGTGTGCGTGTTAACAGCATAGCTGGGAGGCTTGCACCTTTGGCCGACATATCATTCGACTTCTGCAGGCATTTCAAATCCACTAATTTAGTTTTCTGTAATCATGAAAGAACATGGAAACCTAAATGTCAATCTGCCAGGTGAGATTATTAACTCTTTGTCTCCCCAGGATGAATTGAAGCAAGTCAAGAAAAGAAACAAGCAGCTGTGTGTCATATTAGCACAAGGAGAAAGTAAGTGTTCTGTTCAGGGCTCGTAGTGGCCCTTGAAACCTTGCACAATCCTTGAAAGACAGCTTGCCCTTTTAAGGCATTTAAAAGACCTGGACAAGTTCAAAGGAGGCAAAAGTCCTTGAAATTTGCAGACAGTAACCTTGAAAAAATTTTTTGTTTTGTTATGAAGGAGAATCAGATATTGAAGTGCTTTGGCCAAATAAGCATCATAGTAGTTAAGAAAGAACATAAAATAGATTTGGTTTCTAGAATTAAGAGGCAGCGGTCTACCAACATGAGGGAGGACCCAGGACGTTTAATACATCTTGAGCATAAAAATGCATACAACAGACTCACTACTGGGTAATTGTTGGGTTCATTTCTTCACAAGGCATCTCATTCTGCTTGTTTTAGAATGTGACAAAAAAAGAAACCTTTTACATGCCTTCAGACAAAATCGACAATAGAGCTACCATGTTATTTTATAGACCAACCCACCAACTTGGTTGATGATATGGTCACCATCCTGCCAGCCATCTTTACTTCCCCAGTTTTTACTTGGTGCCCATTTAAGGCTGGCTATGAGCCAATGTCATTTTTGAAATGTTTGGCTCCACCAGGACCTTCCTATCCACAGGCGAGCATCTAGCCACTACACCAAGACAGCTGGCTTAATGTAGTAGAGAGGGATATTTTACCTACATACCTCAGTATATATAAGGAAAGAGTACTGGAAGGCATAGTACTGGAGAAAATGGTAAAGGATGTGACTAAAAACAGCATTGATAAAGCAGATGCAAGTCTACCAATGCAGTTTGAAGAGAGTGGCACAAGTTATTAACTGTGGAATGGATGGAGGCATCTGAGGCTGTTGGATACTAGCATCATCTCACACTAAGGCTTCCTTTCCACCAGATGCCTCTTCAAAACCTGATGTCCGAAGACAGAACAGGGATTAGAGAAAAGAGGTTGAACTGGTAAATATAAACCAGTTCTGATTGTTGTAATAACAGACTCCAGTGATGAAAACTCATGACTTATTAATTGGTCACCGTTTTATTTACAGTGAAAGACAAGGCTCAGGTGTTACTTCAAGTTGATGAACTGACTGCTGTTAAAGATGAATTGACAGATCAGGTAATGGTCTGATTGTGACAATAAAAGCATTTGCTTATTGCAGCTGTAAAGTGTTCTTGAATTTTGCAAACTTTAAAACTTTTTAATTTATGAGTAATTTTACACACAGCAGTATTACATGTTGATTAGTTAGTGTATCTAAAAAAATAAAAAACTGTCAATTACTGCCTGTATTTACCACTTTTGCTGTGGGGTTGGGGTAGGTAAAAAAGTAAAGATCCCTTTTCATGCCTTTAGGCCCATCAGGCATTTGGGAAAAGCACCCATATGTTTACAGACCAATTGGCACTAGGTGGGTAATGTGGTCAGCATTACGCCGACCATCTTTACTTCCCCAGGACATACATCCTGGTACCCATTTTAGGCTGGGTCGACCTGCGACACCCAATTCCATGATGAAAATCCATGCAGCTAGCAGTGGATTTTGATCGTGGTACGTTGGAATTACAGACTGGCAATGCCAAAGCCACAGATGCGGCGCAGGGTGGGGTTGGGGGAGACAAAATTTAGAAAACAGATACAGGTTTACCAATGCAGTGAAATTAAAGAGAGTGGCACAAGGCAGACACTTTAGAATACATTGATAAGTGAGATTCACAAAACCTGCAAGTCTGAAATACTTCATGATTAATTGATTTAAAATGTTTAATTAAATAGTTTTAAAATGACCATTAGAAATTTTCAATATCTAATTAATTGATCTAACCTGTGACAGGTGGCTGATTTAACTGCAGAACTTGAAAAGGAGAAGTCCAAGAACCATGCCTTGAAAGCAGAGTTAGACAAGTTGAAGGTAAGAAATATGTCAGATTCTTTGTTTGTTGTCATTGAGGGCAGAGTTAGACAAGTTGAAGGTAAGAATATGACAGAATGAGTCTGCCACTGAAAGCAGTTAGACAAGTTGAAGGTAAGAAATATGACAGATTCTTTGTTTGTTGTCATTGAGGGCAGAGTTAGACAAGTTGAAGGTAAGAATATGACAGAATGAGTCTGCCACTGAAAGCAGAGTTAGACAAGTTGAAGGTAAGAAATGTGACAGATTCTTTGTTTGTTGTCATTGAGGGCAGTGTTAGAAAAGATGAAGGTAAAAATATGACAGAATGAGTCTGCCACTGAAAGCAGTTAGACATGTTGAAGGTAAGAAATATGACAGATTCTTTGTTTGTTGTCATTGAGGGCAGAGTTAGACAAGATGAAGGTGAGAATATGACAGAATGAGTCTGCCACTGAAAGCAGAGTTAGACAAGTTGAAGGTGAGAATATGACAGAATGAGTCTGCCACTGAAAGCAGTTAGACAAGTTGAAGGTGAGAATATGACAGAATGAGTCTGCCACTGAAAGCAGAGTTAGACAAGTTGAAGAAAAAAACATGACCTATTTTTTGTGGGCAGTGTTAGAAAAGTTATGAAATGTGACGAAATGAGCTTGCCACCAAGAGCAGAATTGGATAGACTGAAGGTATAAGTGTTGACAAAATAGATGTGCCATAGAGTTAGAGAAACAAGTTGAAAAATATGACGTGTCCATCAGAGTAGTGCTAGACTGGTTAAAGGTAAAACATATGACAGAATTGGTGTGTCACTGAGAGCATTGTTAGACAAGATAAAGGTGGGAATTTTATAGAATGAGTGTGTCACTGAGACTAGAGTTAGGCAAGTTAAAGTTATAAACATGACATATTCTTTGTTTCCACTTAGAACAGTTTAAACAGGTTGAAGGTAGAAAAGTCTGACAGAAGGCTTGTTTCACAGAGAGCAATCAGACAAATTGAAGGCAAGAGTCTGGCAGAATCAGTGTATCACTGAAGAACATTCCTTTGCCGCTTAACATATTATAGTTAACAGGTAACCTAAGAAACATTACAAACTCAAGTTGGTACACCCGGGGCTTATTTTCTGGTGGTATGCAACGGTATGCAGTACCAGCACCTTTTTTCTAGACATCATTCTTTTTCCGTGCTATTGTAATACACTTTACGGTGACTACCGCCACCCTTTCAGAAACTTTCTGGTGACTACTGGCAACTTTGTTTCTAGCCTTTTGCCACTTTCCCTGCCTCATGCTTTTTTTTTATGCCCTGTATGTCTCCAACATCCTGTGTCCACATTTTTGTTGGTTGACCCCTGTCGAGCAAAAAGTGGTAAATGATTCCTAGCCACACAACCCACACTATCAAAAGTCTTCAAGCCATAAATCACACACACACACACACACACACACACACACATATACGTCTTCTAACCAAAGAACACAACCCATGCTATCTAAGTCTCCTAGCCGCACAATCCAGGCAGTCATGTCTTCTGGCCACAGGAATCAAACAGTCATGACTCCCACACTATCATTAGTCTCCTAGTCGTACAATCCGAGTAGTCATGTTTTCTAGCCACAGAACTTAGACAGTCATGACTTATAACCATACAGCCCATGCTTTCGTAAGACTTCTAGCTATATAGTCTAACCACAGAACTCAGTCATGACGCCTAGCCAGACAACTCACGCTGCCATAACCATTTCTGTGAATTAGAGTGTCTATGCTACCTTTTTTGTGTTTCCTCAAGCAACAGTTTTTTTTCTCTCTCATAAAGTTAAATAAATACAGCTTTGGGAGAAAATGTGTTATTATAACAGCTGGAAAATAAGATAAGGGTTAGGAACAGTAAAGAAATTGTTTTCGATGTATAGTGTAGCCAGTGAATATATGTTGAGTTCCTTGGTATTCAAAGAGATAAGTCTTGCAGGCCATAAAGTCCAACATAACCCAGTCATAAATATTCTAGCCATACAATCCAAGTAGTCATGTCATTTAAAGGCATAACCCCAGGCAATGATAACAGTCTTTTTAACCAGAGAACCCAAGCAACTAAAATCTCCATGTCCAAACAGTCATGTCTTCTAACCACAGAACCCCAGCAGTGAAAAGTCCTTTAACCACAGAACCCAAGCAGTCAAAATCTCCATGTCCAAACAGTCATGTCTTCTAATCACAGAACCCCAGGCAATGATAATAGTTTTTTTTTTAACCACAGAACCCAAGCAATCAAAATCTCCATGTCCAAACAGTCTTGTCTTCTAACTAGAGATAGAAAATTATTTTGAAAGAAATAACGGTTTTACATTTAAGTTATTTGCATAACCTTTACAGCAAGGCTATTCAGCTGGAGGCCCACTGGCAAAATCTGGCCCGCTGGCAAAATCTGGCCCACGGCCTAGAAAGTGGTCCTGCGGATCATTGTTAATTGTGTTGTATTAATGATCTTTCGATGCAAGGGCTCAGGCCTCAGGGCCGTGACGATCACCATTTTAAAAATTGTGGCCCCTGAGTAAAGTCATGTTGAATAGCCCTGCTCTACAGGACCTTGCATATCAGATACCAGCAGCACCAATTGTTGGCTTTTTAAAAAGTGTTTCTAGACAATTTAACACTCAGTGTTTGCTAGTGTTTTCTGAATGGTTCAACACTAAAACTGCTGATATCAATGCAAAGTGTTCGGATGCATTTGACTAGCAAGTTGTTATGTTGGAATTATGAATGTAAACACATTAACATTTTTTCTCCAGACTAATAAACATGGGAAGTAAGTCATCTTTACCGGCATTCCTGACATGGAGATTTTGCCAGTCACAAGATTCCTGGATTGACCGAACCCTACAGAAATAAGTAACAGACTTTTTCCAGTTCTGTCTAAGGAGCTTTATGAATTGGAGTAATTCTGCTAGGGACCACTCACATGCATTCAAATACAAGTTTTTCCTTCAGTCGCAAATACTTGGCTATTTAAATGCGGGCAGAAGTTACCACATTTTTTCATGGTTCGGGGAAGTTAAAGTTTTAGTCATGTATCATTTTGAGCAGAGGTTAAGAAAGAAATAAGTGCAGACTGTTACAAATATTTTATATTAGTAGAATATGGAAATTGGGCTCTTTTGTTTACAGTCAGAAAGATTGAGAATTTGTGTTTAAAAAAAATACAGACACTATATTTTTAAGTTTATTAAAATACAGCTAATCAAACTTTAAACTGAGTTATTTAAAATCAGTGATTTTCAAAATTTTTTCTCTATATTTTTCTTTTCCTTTATCACAAAACTTTATTCATCATTTTGTTTGAAATTCACCATTATGTCTTGTTAGTAAAATGCTTTTGATTGTAAAATGTCATGTATCTTGTGGTATTTGAAGATTCCATCTGCTGCATTTAATTGTTTGAGATATATTTCTGACATGTTCATCTTTATCTAACTCAGGTGTGTATTGTTGTGCTTGTCTGATCATTTTCTCCTATGACATATTTTCAATTCTTTTAATGCCTAGTGGCACATGAGGCTTCAGAGAGGACTTTCCATGCTTTCCTGTCCTGTGCAATCTTCAGTGTAGTTTTCCATGTCAGAGATGCCGCATTTAGGTCACTTTCCATCATTCGTCTCCATGTTGTTTTTGGGCGCCCCTTTATTATCTTTCCCTCTGGGATCCATGTGAGAGCTGTTATGGCAGCTATATCAAGGTTCTTTCTCATAACGTGGCCAAGCCATTTCCATCTTCTCTTAGTTACTATACTGTCTAATGACATATTTTAGTGTGTTCTTATTGTCTGATATTGTAGTGGATTCTTAAAGGATGAAATCATTGTTAGTCTTTCAGTGAATGGATTCTCTGTTGTGTTGCACTGTCCCTTTGATCCACGAGAGCCTTTACCACGTCTGCTTTGTCATAAAGTAGCTAACCACCCATAGGAGTGGCAGCAGCTAATCTGTCGGTCTGCTCATTACCCTGCACAGACAAAAATCCTGGACCAAAAATCTATGAAGTGCTCCTGATCTGATGGCTGGCACATGGTGTTGACTACATCACCCGCTGAGTGCCAATTAGTGTATGCAGATATCTTAGGCAGATACACTCAAGACTTCAGTGGAAGTTTATATTTTTTGCTGCATGCACTAAAGCATGAAATGACAGATACACTGACAATGTTTACTGAAAAATAGACTGACACATACTCCTACAAACTAGTGACTGAACTAATAGTAGAAAATATGAATAGGTTTCTTGAGACAGACAAAAGGGAACTACTACTGTTGCAATGATTTCAGAGCTAGAAGTGAACTTTAGAGAAATATCAGTTTATACCCTGTAGTCAGTCACTAAGGTTGCGGCCTAAACAATGAAAGTTGACCACAGTGGATCTTAAACACTCCATTTCTCAGTTGGCTTGTGCACTCTCACTGCTGTTCATCCATCGCTTGATATTTTCTTGTGTCACCATCTATCCGTTGCCTGTCTGCTTAAATTTTCCCCTCACATATAGTTTCTAGAACTCTGTTAAATCTTTAAGGATATTACTTGATGAGGCCAGAGCCTTGTCCACGATGACCAGCTGTATTCCTTTTTTTGTGTGTGGTGATTGGCAGTTCATTGTTAATTTTTGGGATCATCTTCATTGCGCATCACCATAAGTGCTCCGATCTCTTCCTGAGTATGTCTCCAAGTGTTTTTAGGCTAACAACTCCTATTCTGCTCTGGCTGATGTAACAACAGGTGGCTCCCAAAGGCAGCGTGGCCACTATTTGACAGTACCAGCTGTATATCTGTAGAGATGATTCCATCTTTATCACTGTACCTGAGGTCTATTAAATGAATACATTTGTGTAGGTTAGTTTATGTATGTGTTTGTGAGTCTATTAAGTAGTCACTGTTTCTCTGGTGGGTCTCACCCTTCTTTGCTTACTATATTTTATATGTAAATATACAGAGTGTGAGAAATACAGTCACCAGACGGGCACTTAAATGGAAACAAATGAATTGAGGAAATCTGAATGTCTAAAAGAAACCCTAAGATGAACATTGATAATGGAGACCAGGGATGCTGGGCTAGATTTCCTCCGTAATATTGAAACAACTGCTCAGGACATAAAGGAATAGAACAGCCGGTGTGACGCATAATGGCACAAAAAGATGATGCTGATAACGAAGATATATCAGTCATTTATGTTTGTTTTTAAACACATCAACTGTATTCTTGTTTTAAGCGCAGTCGCTGATGCTGTTATTGTCTGTTAAACAATAATGCGCTGATAAAATAATACTGTAGTCATTTGATTTTGTTATATTTAGTGGTGTCAGGACGTATTAGTTTCTACATGATGTGTTTTTTAATGTGAAATAAAACATGGGAAAGAAAAAAATAAATGTTTGTTTGTTTGTTATATAACAGAGACACCTTCACATTTGTTTGTTTGTAGCATTGTCCTCATTTTGTGTTGAAGGAATATAATTGTGTTGCATTTGTTTATAGATGGTGATGGCCACCCCTACTTTATATATGAATGTGTAGATTGTGTGAGGGTCTGACATACCACATACCAATAGCAGTAACTGTTATGGGAACTGTCTTTTCCTTTTGTTCCGATTTCTGTGAAAATATGCCTTAGAAAATCTTCTTAGCATTCACCAGTTTTAACCACACGCGAAAAGTTTTGATTGTTCATCCACTACTGGACTTTGGTCTTGAACATACCTGAGTTCTGCATTAATAATCTTGTATTCCACGTTCTGTGAAAATACTTCAATGAAGACAAAACTATGATACACCGGCCTCCTAAGTTTTCTGACAGAAGGATTGAAGATCTTTTGTAAAAAGACTTTAAGCCATTTTCAACCCATTAAAAAAAAAGGAAAAAGTTGTTTTCCTGTTGTAAAATATTAACAAAGAAGATACAAATTACTGACTGACATAATTCGCTGCATCTCATTAGGTGCATTACTGTAAACTTACATCAGCCTTTTAACTCCTTTTGCATTCAATCACAGATGATAATGCAGTTTTGTTGCAACATGGCTACAGCAGCCTTTCTCTTACTGCATTTAACCACAGACATTAATGCGCTGTGCCCATTTTGTTACAACATGCTACATCAGCCTTTCAAATGGCTAGCTTTGTGTTTGTAGTGGCTATTGTAAAAACCAGATTTCCTTAGACTACTAAATATAAATCCAGTCCAACAAGTTAGAAAAAACATTAGATGGTGGAAGAGCCACTGACACATCACATGTTGCTTGTGACTAAGAGTTTAGATATGACAACCAGTATATGGCAATAGTGTGCACTCTCGCGTAGTTGGCTAAACCGGATTGGGTGGAGACCGGGTGACAAACTCTTGTGGTACGGGTTCACTCCCGGGGTAGACAGAAAAGCCACATTTCTCCCAGATTTACAGTATTTACAATGGAATCAAGGCCGAAAGGTTGCGATACCCATAATACCGAGCCTAAGGGTTAACAACTCATGGCTTCTGGATACTAAAACAAACAAACAAACATGGCAATAGTGTAAATTACCACACACATTTCTTTTGACATGAAAATCTGTTAAGGTGGTTTAACAAATCTGTCACCAAAATGTCTCCCTCACAGCAACAGATTAACAGCATCTTCACCCCTACTTTTATAATGTCAGTGACAAATGTGAATGAGTAGGCCACTAGAACAGAAAATAACTACTGGTAAAATGTGCTGTCTTTCATACTCTGTCACTAACAACACTAGAAAGAACAGGGTTATTAATAACATTGAAGAGAAATTTGGAATAAGACGGCATCCTAATTATATTGACAAAGATTGAAATGGTTCAGCCATCTAGTGAGAATGCGGCTAGACCAAACTGCATGTGAGAGGTTTTACAGCAGAATATCTGGGAGGAAAGCCACCCGAAAAGTGCAAGACAAACTGGGCTACAACCTGTTGTCAGTGACATGATAAAAGACCAACAAATCTCTGCTGCAAACTGTTTAAGCAGTAGACTGTGAAAGGTATGAGTTCATTTCACAGACTACATCATTTGGTGCAATTTTGACAGATTCCTGGAGATGGTTGCTGGAGCTACAAAGTTTGTTTTGTGCGATGTATTTAGCAGACCATTCTGCAAATGTTAAATGTTTATTTAAGAATCAACATCACAGCACTCAGGACATCCCATAAGCACTCTGTCTCCATCTTCAGCAGCAAGCACAGAGTTCCAATATCGATAGCACCAGTAACAGTCTGACTGTAAACCTGTCTCGCCTTTCCAGTGAGTGTTAAACATGGGTCAGATCCACTGGTTACGCCTCTCTGCATCCTTTTCCTCAGACAGTGATGATCTGTGTTTGTGCCTCTGCACTGTTCGCTCACTCCCAAAGGACCCTTGCAAACTCCAGCTCATCATGCGCCATTTTACCACCGAGTGGTGCACAACCAGCAAATCTATCTGTTTGGTTGTTTCCCAAAACACCAGCATGCTTGGAGAAGGACCGTGTCATATGGAATAAAAACACAATTCAAAGTAAAAGTCAAATGTTTCGTTTTTTTAATTTTAAGGAAATGTAGATAAATTTTAAAACATGAAACTATCTAGGTTTCATCAATTCATTTTAATAATTTGCAGCAGTATGAGTACACTATACAATCAGATGGCACATAACATTTTCATAACTATGAATACAAATATAGCCCTTCAAGTTTTCAGTTTTTTTAACTTTCTTAGATAACAATTAATGCAACAACTTCCTTTTTTCCTAGGTTAAATAATACAAGTAACATATTACAATTTCTCTATGATGATTAATATAATCAACACAGTGAAATTCCTGAATGACAAATAATTTAATAAAGAAAATGAAGTTTTTCAATAAAAACTAGCATAATTCTGCTATTCAAACACATTTCATTTGTTCCAAATGACGATCACAGTTAATATCTTTTAAAAAATTTTTATTTTTAATTCACCCAAAAAACTGTTACTGACACTTTCATGTTGTGGTTTTAAGCTAGGATGAGATATCTATGCCTTTTGGACCTGCATATCTACATCAACAAACCCCTTATTTAAGTACAATTTAAAAAAATGCAATTCAGATAATTAGAATCCCCAATAACCGAAACAATTAAAATATCAAACTCTGTGATGACTATGTCATGACTAATTTATACACACCAGAATCAAAATCTCCAATGACAATCATACTAAACAGTTTATAAAAACACTTGGTAGGTAAGCCTGTTCTATGTGGCATCACCTTCCTTCAACACAAATGTTGCCATCACAGCTCTGTGGTCCGATGCAGCAGCAGATCTGAAAACAGTAGAGAATATCAGTGCCAATGAGGAGAAATTAACAAGAAAAAAGAGAAATTACATCAACAATAAGGAGACAAATCCACTGTTTGGGTTCCTCGGGGGATGAGGGGGGGGGGGGGGGGGGGTTGACCCACTGCTCCCCCAACAAGCATGTAGTAAAAGGCGACAAATTAGGGGTTTGTTGAAATTTGATGTTTTGGCGGCCTGAAAAAGGCAGATACTGCAGCCTTGCTGTAAACCACAACATACTCTGTCAACCACTTTTTTAATGTGCAAAAGCAGAATGGAGAAATGAAAACAATCATCATGTAGCAGGTCCTTTGCAGAACGTCGCTTTTATCACAGTCTGCCTGTAAGAAACTCGGTCTCTTGCCAGTTCCCCCGCCTCATGAACTTTCACACTCAAGGAGTCACTTATATCCTGTGCCCATCTTCGTGTCAGTCGGCCTCTGCCCCTCCTTCCTGGTACCATGCCTTCTGCTATAATTTTTCCAATCCGTCGTGGTGCTTGATATGACTAAAATATTTCAGCTTTCGAGAAAGGATGCTGTTTATTAGCCAATCTTCCTTGATGTTCAGATCTTTTAAGATGTCAATATTTCTCATCTTCTTTGTCCAAGATATTCTGAGAATCTTTCTATAGCATTTCAGCTCAAAAGCCCCTATTCTCTTTCTTAAGGACTGAGAGATAGTCCACGACTCACATCCGTATGTAGCCACAGGGAAGATGCTTGCTCTCAAAATTCTAATTTTTATCTCCTTGCTGGTGCTTAACCATAGACTTTTAGTGAAAACAATAAGAAAGAAAAATTATGTCACCAATAAGAAAGACAAATTAGGTTAACATAAAATTGAAGCACGCCAACAGTAACAAGAAAATTATGTTGACAAGAAAGAAATTATGCCAACAATAAGAAGGAGCAATTATGTCAACAGTAAAATGGAAATATTACGTCAACAATAAGAAAAGAAATTATGTCAATAACAGGGAGAAATGTCATAGGCAAAATCCGACTGGGAGCTATAATAATCCAGTGGATAGCAAACTTGCCTGAATTGCAGCCGGTCACATGTTTAAATCCTTTCAAAGCAGATATTTGTTTTTAAAAATAATTATTTGCACTACCAGTATAAAACTGGTACCAACTATCGTTCTGGAAAGTAGAAACAGCTGGTAAATCTTAAAAAAAAAAAAAAAAATACCTTTTTCAAAAATTTCGTTGAAAAGAAACGCATTCTTAGAATTCTCTTAAACTTTACCTAAAAAACTAGAGGAAGAGAAGAAAAAGTAGAAGCAATTTCGAGTCTTGGGTAATTTTCATAAAAATCCACGGAATCAAACCTCTAGACTACTGAACAGGCAAGCATGACAATCCACAGCTATCGGCTGTAAAATAATTAAAATAAATTTATTTTAAATTAATATTTTTTGTGATTTAAAAAAAAAAATCAAGAACAAGCTGAGCAAAGAATTAATTGCTTTCCTTTCCTATAACCAGGAAAGAAGTGGTTTTATTGATAAAGCTTCATGCAGAAATTTAATGTAATTATGAGGCTATTATGACCTTACAATGATGTCACAATTAAAATAAAAATGTGATTTTTTTAAAATATCAAATAATACCTGACAATTTTTTCAGGTTAAAAAAAAAAAAAAAAGAAAAATTTCCCTTTTCTACTTACTATGAAGTCAAAGCCATTACAGAAGTTGTTATATAGGTGTAGTGGCCATTGCCCAATTATCTAATATCCTCAAAAACCCATAAATGATAAAAAACATGGCTTTCTTTGGGTGATAGGGTTAATAGAAAAAGTAAAAAACCCAGACTTACCTTGTTTTATCATCCAAAACCTCCACGTTATGCACTGAAACTGCATTAGTTTTCCTCATGAATATATAATCAATCTGCAAGAAAGAATGGTTGAGCATCTGATTAACATTTCCATCATTTGAAATACATATGGAACCTCAGCAAAATTCATAAGAATCATAATTAGCTTCATTTATGTATCACAAACGAAACAATTATTTATTTCTTGAATAATATTTTATATTATACTTCACTATATTCAACTGTCACTGTTGCATGCTCCTACATTTTATCATGTGATATCTTTTGGATTTTATGCATTTAATTCAGACCGGCACCTCTGGCCTCACTTCTGACCATTCATTCATCAATTTTTAGACTTCGGACTGGACACTGTGGTCTTCAAGCACACCTGTACAGGATAGGCATAAAAGAATCTGCTGCCTGTGATTGTGGAGCAGAAAGACAGACCCCTGAGCACATACTGCAGTACTGCCCTTACCTCTCCCAGCAAAGACTGTGGATCTGGACCAGGGGATCCACATTGCAAGAGAAGCTATGGGTCACCGGTGGCGACCTTAAACGCACAATCCTATTTTTGACCCAGACGGGACTCAATGTGTAGCATGACTGATGTCGAACGCAGAAGAAGAAGAAGAAAGAATTAATCACTGGATTTGCCTTGGATGCCCACAATCCACAACACATCAATCCATCTGCTACCAATTTCAGTGCTTGTTTTGTGGTTCTTTGTCTCCTTCATTTCAGAATGTGTCCAATACAGTGTCATCTTCTTTCTATTATATTTTTTTTACACCAGCAGTTGCCCAGTTTTTCTCTGATTTCTTCACCTTGCACTCATGTCATGTACTGATCATGTCATATCAAAGAAGCATATTCATCATAACAAATAACACCCTGGGATCCTGCTTTCACCACAGTCTTGGAATACCATAAACCTGAAACTAAATACTGTCTCTATTATGGACATTAAAAAGGAGATCTGAGTATAAATGATAGAGAAAAACAATTAAGAACAAATTTGCTAAGGCTGGTATCTAAAAGTGTATGAAAAAGGTAGGCTCACTTCTGCATGCATACTGGAATTCTGACATTCACTCGTAAGATTATCAAATTTAACAAAAACATATCCCATGCTATTTTATTTCTAGTCATCAGCCACAGGCATAGCTATCACTATATCTTAAGTATTTAAATATGTGTAGTTATTTTTAATGTTTGAACCACACAAAGGATGGACAGATGGAATATTCGAGGCCGTAAACACCAGCATTTACGTAGCACATCCCATGGTGTGCATCTGATGCCTCTTCAAAACCTGGGGCTGAAAGCAGAACAGGACCAGAGAAGAAGAATGTTCAAACTGGTCACAGCTTATTTTTAATTCATTATTCAACTGGAGGAGAAATGACATTGTCAGTGGCATATGCCAACAAATGTGACAGAAACAATACCCTCTTGGAAAGACTATCCTCTAAGCAGCTGAATGTAAAACCATCAGATGATGGATACAAGTGCTCCCATATGTCCAGTAATCCGGATCCATTGGTCAGCATTCTGTGGATATCATGTCAGAAAAGCTGCCATTAATATTACAGTGAAGCAAAGAATCCTTACCACACCTTAAGGGCATCAGACTTATGATGTTAGACTCATATTTTTATAGACTAAACAGCACTAAACTGGACTGTTTCCGCTTTGGACAAAGATTGGGGCAAGTGTTTACCTCTAGTTTGGCTTAAGGCTGTTGATCGTCGACCCGACAAGCCACCATTGTAAAACATCCTTTGTTTTAGAATCGGATTTCAAGCTCTAAATGTTACAGTGCTTCATTCAAACTAATTAAATTCCAAGTACATCGTCAAAATGGATTATTGGAACGCCAATTGGTGATGTAGCAGCGTCCGTGGCTTAGGCGATGTGAGTCCGACTCGTAATTTAAATGTACCGCGATCGAAACCCACTGCTGGCTGCGTAGATTTTTATCATGGTATGGGATGTTGCAGGTCGACCCAGCCTAAAAAATGGGTACCAGGATGGATGTCCTGGGAAAGCAAAGACGACCGGCGTAATGCTGACCACATTACCCACCTAATGCCGATTGGTCTGTAAAAATATGAGTGCTCTTCCCAAATGCCTGATGCGCCTAAAAGGCGTGAAAAGGGATCTTTACTTTTTTTTAATTGGTGATGTGACTAAGTAAGGTAAAGAACCCATTTATATGTCTATTGGTGTACTGAGCATAGGACTAGACCTATATTTTATAGGCACTCAGTGGGTGACGTGCTCAACATCATGCTAGTTGCCTTTACTTTCCAGTACTTCACCTGGTACCCATTTACAGCTGGGCTGACCTGGGAGCCAAAGTTATCTTTGACAAGACCAGCTCCGTCAGGACCTGAAAAAAAACCTTTGGATCCATAGGTGAGCATCTAATCGCTATATCATGACGACTCCCCAATAGGTGATGTGGTCAACATAATGCTGGCTGTCTTTACTTCCCAGGACATTGCCTGGTACCCACTTTAGGCACGGGTGACCTGGCATACAAAGTGAATTTGTACAAATTTGCCATGATGCAGATTCAAACTCAAGACCTTCAGGCTAGGAGGCGAGTAGCTACTGCGACTTCCATGTATAATATGCTACTAATTTTGTTAAGAGTAAGTCACTTGAGCAAAGATGTTTGTGTTTTGTGCAATACTCAGCAGGTGACATGGCCAATATTACTCCAGTTTTCAGTGGTAGGTGTAATAGTCTACCAAGAGAAGAATAGTCCTAGGGTACAATAAAAAAAAAAAAATGCATTTAAGAAGAATAAAATATCCCAAATATTAAGTTATTTTCAATGAATTTCAGAGTACTGAAATATTATGTTGAAGCTATTCTGCTATATGGTAGTGAATCTCGGAATGTGAACATAAAAACCAGAAACAGCATGGAGAAAAGAAAGGTGTGATCCTGGAGACACATATTGCAAACATTTCCAACACAGTAAATAACAAATGCCCAGAAAATACTTCTGAAAGTAGAGACTGTAGGTAAATTTAAGAAAGATACAAGTTAATCTTTGTGCAGGTGAAGAGAAGAGAGTCACCAAGGCACCAAAGAACATCATGACTGGAAAGATCAGCAGTAAACAAGATAAAGGAGGACTGAGACAGATGAAGCAGGATAGTCTTCTTCTTCTTCGCAATCACCGCCTGTAAACTCTGGCAGAATGTTCTGGTTGTTAGTCCATTCTGGATTTTATCTTGTCCCAGAAAATGAGTTTTGCAGATCTCGCTTATTTGTATGAAGACTGTTGGTTCCTTGCCTCCCAGGCAGATATACTCATACTTTGAAAAACAAAAACCTCAATCCGTTTTAACGACATGCTAGTTAGGGCGGCAGTATTTTCGTGCTGAACAAACTCCAGATCATGCCTTCCAAGACTGTCCTCTCCTGGAGAAGCTGTGAAGCAACATGTAGTCACACCAAGTAGACCTGACAACTAAGCTTTGGGGAAACCTAAGAAACTTTCAGATAACATCCCAGTTTGTGGCCAATAGTGGATTAAGCTCATGACTAGAGATTGCTTTAGAAGAAGGATGAATAGTTAGTTATCTGAAGCAACTCTACAAACTGCCAAAGAAACACAAAATCATGTTTTTCCTAGAACTGGCAAGCAAGACATACTTAATTGCTGTTTCCGTGGGACTTGCATTCAGATCTCCCAAAAATATAACAAGTCCACCATCATAACAACTCATGTATTGTAGAATTTGTTTGACTGCTGCCTCTCTTGCCTCGTGACTAAGGGAGAAATGAGTGTTGAAAACATGTACCTGCAAACATAGAATGTTTGTAAATAATATTTATACGCAAGAAAATACACAACAAGAGATATGGCCATGCTAAAAAAACATTTACATTTCAAATTTCTCTCTCTCTGTGTCTATACACACACTCGCACACTCTTTCTCACACATAAGAATAACTCCCCAGGGAAGCATGCACAGCAGGGGTCCGCCGATCATCAGTAGAAAGGTCCTTGGTCGACAACTGTTTTGGCCCATTACTTTCTATACAATCTCGGAAGGTGGCCTGACCTGGTTCATGAAGCCAGGTCTTGGACATCCCCTGCTGCACTTTATTCGACATTCGGACAGCGACAAGACGAAATGGTTATTTTGCAACAGGTATTGTGAGATATACATACATACATACATATACGCACACACACACACATAAAAAAAACCATACACACTTCCCTTATTTGTTGAACATATTACAAGGCCTTAGGTATATCTTATATTTACTCCTTTTCCTTTCAATGACCATCACCTAATCTTTTTTCTTCCAAAATGTGGTTCCAGAACCGAACAAAGGTACAAATAAAAATAAACTAGGTCATAATAACTTAATTATAGGAATTTTTACAGTATGTCGATACAGAGTTATAACTTTAGAAAAATACAACAAAAATGAAAAACTTGATTTATTTTCACCTCTCCAAATGACGGGACAAGTATCACTGCATGGAGACATATTCTTTGATTCATGTCAGCAGAATTGCTTTTATTTCTGTTGGAATGTAAGAATTATCATTATATGAAGACAAAAAAGATAATATTTGAGACAGCCAGAAAGAAGAAAGTGAGAAACAGGAGTCACAGAGAAAGTGAGAGAAAGAGGCAGAGAGAGGGGGGAGAGAGAAAGGAAGAGGGCAAGGGGAAAGAGATAGCATGGAAAATAAAGAGTGAGACAAAGAGAGGAACAAAGTGAGAAAGAAGAAGACGGAAAATTGAAAGAATGAGCAAGACATGAAGAGGGAAAGAAAGAGGGAATTAAGGAGGAAAGAGAGGAAGAGGAAATGAAAAAAAGGGGGAGTATATTTGACACAGGATTAGAGGTTTATACATATATTGAGATAAGCTTTGTATACCAATGATAGTCTCCATTACACCTCCACTTTTATACTTCATACAATGCTCCGTGTTATGTGTAATGCACTTTTTGATTCGTCTCCTGAGTAAGTCCCACAGCGTGCAGTCTGGTCATTGTTGCAGATTCAGTCATCACTTGGTTCTCACCAACATTTCACTTCTCGTAGAGCATTCAGAAAATCAGCATGGTCTATGGCTTGTCCGCCCTCCACAGTAGCTTTATCTGCAAGCCGATCAGCTTGCTCATTTCTTCGCATGCCTGCGTGCACTGGCACAAACATGAAACTGATATGTGTCAGCTCTGACCGCTTTAGAGACTCCTGCCACTGTCTTTGGATCTAGCTCTTCTCTTTCTTCCTGAGCATGCTCACTGAATCACTGGGAAAAGGTCTGTAATGGTAAAGTTAGTTTCATCTTCACAGCAAATGGGTCACCCTTATAGTTGCTCCGCTCCGTGCCAAGGAAAAACACACAGAATGTTCATCAAAGTACCTTGTGGAGAGACTGACAGACTGCTGTCTCAGTATATGTACTAGCATACACACGCATTAAAACCATACGGTAGCCATCAGAAGTGCTAACATAACACAAACAGTTCAACATTATAAATACAGTTCATCATCGTCGGTAGCAGAGTTAACCAACAAATCAGCAGCTGCACATGCGATCAATTTTAATCACATAAGAGCACCATCAATATTGCGATGACAGGCCACGCGCCATTTCCTGAATTTACAATTCACAACACCACATTGGTCACAGTAGAAGAAGATTCCAAATGAAATCCGTAGCTCACAGGGTCGCACCATGCACTTAACTCAGTAGCTGGGCAACGAAACTATATCCTTTCAGTCTACAAATGTAGCAAAAATGCAACGGCCACCATCTGACAGAAGCAAAAACTTGCTATGACTCTAAACAGTGACCGTGCCTAGCATCCACTTTGAATGCTATAGCTTTGGTCACTGCCATGACCTCCATAGTTAGACTACTTGTGGTCAAGGCAATAGCACATGAATCTTGCTTCATAATTGGAACTCCAGCCTGGGCCATAAAAGCCCAGAAGCTTCTCACATGGTGAATTACAGACATATCATTTAAATTACAACATCCCCCTGTAGAGAATTCTTGAAAATCAATGACTGCACCTCTGCCTCAACAATGGCTGGACTTTCTTGTCTGCATTTTCTATCTAGATGAATGCAAACAGAAAAGGTCAAAAAAAAACTAAACTACCTCAGTTCTGTTTCAAAGAATGATTTACAAAATTTCCCTTTTTTTAGTGCTTACATACTACTGCTAATCATCAAAATTGTATGACTTTTTCCACTATTTGGAGAACACAATATACCAATAATTTAAGAAAAGAAGTCAGGGTTGATTTCATCAAAATTTCAACCTGTGAAAAAAGAGCTGAAACCAAAATTAAACCTATTTACCATGAATAAATATTCATTTTTATCTTTCTTTAAATGTTACAAAAACAAATTTTGAAAAAAAAAAAAAATATTAGAGTTGATTATTTTCCTGAAGTTACAGCTGCAGCAGCAGAGTTGCTAAGTTACTTCCTGCTGGCTTGCATTCAAATTCCCATTAAGAAAAGGATGCCTAAAACCTGTCACTGGCTTCCCAGATCAACCCAGCCTAAAACGGGTAGCAGGAAAAGAAAAAGGCTAGCACCACATACATCTCAAAGCTTGGAAAAAAGTCCTTCACTTTACTTACATCCCGTTCAGAGCCTCAGTAAATTACCTGAAGCAAAGATGAGTTATAGGATATGAGTTAGGAACTGACATCACGGCACTCTGGATATTCCCATAAATGCTCCATCCTCATCTTCAGCAGCAAGTGTAGAGTTCTAATTCCGATGGTACCAGTAACAGTCTGACCGATGGTACCAGTAACAGTCTGACTGTATGTCTGTGTCACCCCTCAGCTCAGTGTTCAGTGTGGGTCAGATTACCCTGGTTACCCCTCGCTGCACCGTTCTCTTGAAACTGTGATGACCTTTTTGTGTCTCCACACTGTTTTTGGAATAAACCCAAATGGCTCTTACAACGACTAGCTTATCATGCATCAATTTACCACCAAGAGATGCAGAACCAGCCAATCTACCTGCCTGTTCATTTCTCAAAACAGCAGCATGACTAGAAGCAAAGATGTAAATAAATAAAAGCAAACAGTCATGGTGGATGACAGGGGGATATTAAAAAATTTGTACTACTCCCTCATCTGAACTATTTCCTTGCCGCTGTGCTGAATGGTTCTTTACTTACATTACATTCATAATGTGTTCTCTCATTCACACCCTCAGTAATTTACTAGAAGCAAAGATTAAACAAGAACAATTGCACATTAACATCAGTAAAACGGAGAACAAGTACCTGAATAAAAGCAAATAATCATGATGGATGATAGGATATTTAGAAAATATTGCCACTCCCTCTTCTGTCCTTCCCTGTTCCAAACTGTTTCCTTGCAGCTGTGCTGGCTGGTAGACAAACTGAGGAATATAACCCCAAACAATGAGAAACAATTCATTTAGCTTGTCTGCCTGGAAGACAGTTGTCAGATGTTATGGAGACAATCATTTGTGTTTTGCCTTCATTTACACATGGTTATACATAATTTTGCCTGGTAATCTTCTTACTTAAACAGATCTATTTAGCACTGTAACCTGGAGCCTGAGCTCTAGCAGCCATAATAATAGATTCAAAACACATGACTTTACTTTTTGAGATGAAAAGTATAAAACTTTGGGGCAGAGCAAGAGAGAAGATGATGGACAATTTAGCATCATGGCATTACACGAGACATGAAAAGGTAAAAAGTTGGTTCATCATTTTGTCTTTTCCTTCCACTCTCTTTCTCGTATACTCCCCTTTGCTTTCTCTTAAGTGTTTCACAAAAACAGGAAAGTACCTGATAGTATGGCATCAGTGAAATCAGATGATCCATCTGACATGGTCCTAATCTTCCACCAAGAGGAGTTTCCAGTCTGACTTCCTGGAATGCAACAATATCCGGACTGGCTTCCTTCAGCACCTGTTTACCACAAACGCTTTCAAAAAATCATCTATTAGTAAATCATGAACAAAACAAAATAATTAAAAACAAATAATGAAAATACAAAATCAGAAATAAAGAGATATATTTCTGGGTTATACTAAACAAATCTCATGCTACTAAAGAAATATAATGGTAAACAAAGGATAACTAAAAATAAGCAAAATAAACTTTTTATAATTTATTTGAAATTAGTTATTTAGCTGTCTTTTGTCTTCTGTCCTTATCTTTTTTTTTCCAGCTCCTCATCCAAACTCAAAGCCATTCTGTTCTTCATTCACCATGTCATACAGCTAACTTCATGTTACCACAGCACATCCCCCTGTTCATTCACCATGTCATGCAGCTAACTTCACGTTCCCACAGCACATCCCCATGTTCATTCACCATGTCATACAGCTAACTTCACGTTCCCACAGCACATCCCCCTGTTCATTCACCATGTCATACAGCTAACTTCATGTTACCACAGCACATCTCCCTGTTCATCACTATGTCATGCAGCTAACTTCATGTTCCAACAGCATATCCCATGTCATCCTTATCTTATTAACCCCATTCTCTCATACTTGTGAGTGATTGGTTTCCATTCATTTCTCTGGTCCTGTGGCTTTGAAAGCAAGGGCAATCTATATTATTATCAGGTTTGATCAACGTGCATCCTATCTAGCTCTAGCATATTTCTTCGCCCAGTGATTCAATGGAACGTGAATTACTAAACAGTTAATTTATAAATACTAAACATACATTAGGTCATAAACAAATGTTATACTATGCTAAACGAATGGAATACAAAAATTAACCACTAATTTGATTAATATATGTTATTTCTAAATTAAATTTAAGCAGAAAACTACAAATGGTTACCAACAAATTTTTGAACAGTAGTTAGAAACTGGCAGTTTGTTGACCACATCACCCCCAGATTGCCGATTGGTCTATAAAATATAGGTCTAGCCTTTATGCCCAATCCATCTGAAGGTGTGGAAAAGGGTCCTCTACTTTACTCACAGTTAGAAATAAATCTGATATCAGTTAACATAAAAACCACAGTTTACCTTTGATATATGGCTTATTCTTTGCTGATATCTTCCACTGTATTCATACGTGTTGAAATTCCAAATATTGTAAGTCATTACAGTGAGACCCTGTCTGTATATTTTGGTATTACTTTGATCTTTTTCAGAAATATAATGTTTTAAATTTGTTGCTGGCAAGTCAGAAAGTCTCTCTCCGGTCTCTGGCACAATCTGCTCTTCAAGCAACACATTCTTGCAACCATGCTGGTCTTCTTTTGATACATGACACACCTGGTCCGAAGTCATTTTAAGCAGCTTGTTTGCTGCTAAATTTGACAAAACTGTGAGATCAATCTGACAATCTGAATATTTACTTGTAGGAACTTCTAAACGATGCTCACAAGATGAACTTTTGGCAGTGTGAAACAGATGAGCATAAACGTAGAATTGTTCCATTTGTAATGTTTTAGTTATTGTTACATGATGCACTATTAGTGTGGAATCATTCTGTTTATATGTCAACTGGAAATTGTATGTGCTACCAAAAGACAGTGGAACAGAAACTGGAAACTCATCCCCATTCCTCATTTTGACATGTTCTGTTATAGTAAGTGGACCCTGATCAGACAGTGAACACCATAGTTCCTGAAAATGAAGGATAGTTCACAACTGCTTAGTGTTTGCAACAAATAGATAAATTTTTGTTTGTTTGAAACTTATTGTGAAATACCAGTCATCATCATCATACCTATCATTTTAATTAATTGGGACAGCACCTGCCTATATGGCCGCTGGTTCGTAAACAGCCTCATCTTTACACCAGGCACACAGTCTGTTTTTGTGCAGAACTATATGAGGTATCCTATGACAATGAGCAGGCACACATACATTAAGCCATGATTTAATGATCATTTAAGTTCTTTAAATTTAAGGGATCTTGCAGACAGGACATTCAGCAACAATACAAAAAGTATACATGCAGTATGAGACTCACAGTGTACAAAGCTCCTTCACCACAAAGCTTAATAAATGATAAGACAAATTTCCCTCTGTCTCATCTCAAAGCATGTCGTAATACTGCTCCAGTGTAGGTTGGTCAACCTTGTTTCTCGCACAGCCTTCCTTTCTAACTTCTACGGTTTCCTTGGGAATTTCTCATACAGAATCTTATAATAAGTTGCTTAACATCTTTCCTCAAAACTTCTGTCAAGCGGTCTGTCGTCCAGCCTCAGAAAAAATTCTGAAACTGACTATCTACTTCTCAAAGTGTGGGTGATGTTTTTAAAAAAACATCTAGGTCCTCCTCAGGACGTAAAGGGTCCCAGGGGTATCACATGTCTAGCTTTCACTAACTGTATAGAGGAATTGTTTTTTCAGTTCCAGAATCTTCTTGAAACTTTGGATTGGATTTCTTAGGTATGAGATTCATTATGGCAAAGTTAATGGTATGAGATGAATCACATCAAGAAATCAAACATGTTTTTTTCTGTTCTGTGTCAGGGACTATCTGACACTAGACCATACCAGTCCCCAGGTTAGCTGGTCCTAGTTTATGTGCAAAACCAAGCAAGAGTCGCACACCTGAAACAGGTGGCTGTATACATGTCCATTTAACTTGTATGGCTGGAGTGATTCCTACTCTATCACACAATTTAAAGATGTTAGTCATTTAAAATGTCACATGTTATTTCTGTGGTTTCTGTGTTAGGATAAATACATCTCATACTTTCCCCACACATACTATATAATTTCTACACTAAGGTAAACCTATATCACATGGCCCACCTTAATATGAACAAACAGTAGGCTAAGGTCATTATAACATTGTTTCTACATAAACCCCCTTCACCACACAAATGCTAAAAAAAAAAAAAAATGTGTGGGTGAACAATTAGGGGTTTGCCGAAATCGGAGGTGTAGAGTTTAGTTTAGATCAGAGGTCGAGACCCAAAGGTGCAGATATCACAGCCTAGCTCTAAACCAAAACATGCCAATGCCCCCTTAGGGCAAATGCATAGGAAGAGAAAATGCTTCAGTATAATTTTTTTTCTTGAAATTTTACTCATAAATGTGTGGATATTATCTTTATCATCTGGAGCTGCACCATTCCATTGTTCATGTCACAATTAGCGGTATTCCCTGTGTGGGTATCAGGACCCTATTACAGGGAAAACAAGACTGGACCCACTGCCTCCCCAAAAGCATGTTGGAAGAGCCGACCAACAGGGAGCTTCCTTCAAAGTCGGAGTGCATCTGCCTGAGAGGAGAGGAACCAACAGTCTGCACACAAATGAGTCAGATCTGTAAAATGGATGCACATGCAACAGTTAGGTTCTGTTGCTGTTATTGATCCAGCGGCGCATGAGCTTTCGCCCTTTGGCCCAATGCCATGTAGTGGAAATTACATGTTTTCACAAGCTGTTCTTTTCCTCTGTACAAGAGAGTAGCATTCTTCTAGTCTCGTTGAGTTTTGGGCACTCAAAGAGATGATGGTCAACAGTTTCATAGGGGTAGTTACATAGCTGGCACTCTAGAGAGTGTTGTGGCTGTATTGTGTTTAGGTGTCCATTGAGTGGAGTATGTTGCGTTCTAAGTCTGAAGATGGTAGCCTGGTCCCTTCTTGTTAAATGGTTTATGCTGTCATTAGGATCAGGGCTAGCCATGTGTCTATAAACCTCTCTTCCAGTATCTCCCATGGCCCATCTGTTCAGCCAAGTCTCTTTGTTTATAGCTTTTATAAGTGTTAGGTTCTGGAACAGGACTGCAGTCTAGAAGCAGATGAAGAATCAGAACTTTCCGTCACAGTTTACAGCTGGTTAAGGCGAAGAAGAAGAATTAGTGGTATAATTATTTCCTGAACAACCAACGATTGCCCCAATCTGGTAAACTCAGCACTAGTGGTTTTTCTGGTAAAAACAAGAGTGACTGTAGTTAAGATTGTATCAAGTAATTAATCCACTCAACTGTGACTAAGAAGCTTAACCAAGGTGTGACGGGAAACAAACAAACAAACACACAGACAGAAGACAGACACACATACAGAGAGAGAGAGAGAGAGAGAGAGAGAGAGAGAGAGAGAGAGAGAGAGAGAGAGAGAGAGAGAGAGAGAGAGAGAGAGAGAGAGAGAAACACAGAGAGAGGGGAACAAAAGGACATTTCTGCAGCAGACTTTACTTTGAGAGTCACCATAGTGTAGCAGCTAGACGCTCGCCTGCGGATCAGAAGGTCATGGGTTCGGGCCTGACGGAGCTGGACTTTTTCCAAAAATGACTTTGGCTCCCAGGTCGACCCAGCCTTGAGTGGGGGCTGAAGTCCTGAAGTAAAGGCAGCTGGCATGATTGCTGACCACAATCACCCACCAAGCGCCGATTTGCCTAAAAAATATAGGTATAGCCCTATGTGCCCAATTTGCCCGAAGACATGGAAAAGGGTCCTTTACTTTACTGTTGTGTTTATAAAAGCTGCATTCGAAACATCTTTTGTTTGTGTGCGTTTTTCCTATTTTCCACTTTTGTTAACTCTTTCAGTACCTGGAAACATGCTATACGTTTATTAATTACTTAATATATATAATAAATTTAATAATTAACTTTGACAAGATCTTATGTAACGATAATCTATTTTATTCCCACCGTTACTTTGACTCTTTGTGTTCCAGACCTGTGTTAGTTAAACATGGTATTTAGGTTCAATGATTGTCATTCCAATGAATGTCAACTTGGAATAGACAGAGTGAAAGTTACTACCATCTGGGAGTGAGAGAGTTAAGCTTTAAGGTCACACTTTTTTTTGCTCTAGAACTTCACATTTTAAGGCCTAGTTCATCTGTGCAATGTTCACATAGTAAAAAGTTAGAAACTTACTATTTTGTTTAAACAAGTCACTGTAACTTTATCTGCAGCTATGTCAAGACAGCATTTGTGGATAAATGAGAGTGCACGCTGAAACAGAGCAATTCACCATATGTCTAATGTTTTCTTACATAAGAAAAATGATATGTGCTAGCTAAACAATAATTAAGAACATTATGCTTGTGTGGCTTGCAAAACGATAAACAAGTAATTCAATTTGTGTAGTACAAAATACAAGCAAACAGAAAAAGAAACCGACCCTCCAGAGATGCGGATATACAGAAGAATGGAAACAAAAGCAATAACATACAAAGGTTGTGAGAAAATTGTGAGTGGCAACAGAACTGCTGAAAGAAATAAAACAGACTCAAATTAAATATTTGTGTGTGAGTGACAATTTACCCTCTCTGACCTGCTAGCTGCAAAAGTCTGACACCTTGAGATCAGAAGACCTCAATCTGGAAGGCAGACTACCGGGTCTTGAATATATGACACAGTAAGACCAAAAACAATCTTAGTGCTGGTCGCAGACCAACAGGGCTAGCCCAGATACCTCATTCAGCCTCCAAGGAAGTTATAATTAGGGTACCTATAATGGCCACACCAGCCCAGTGTAACCTGCAGTTCTTTCCGGGTAAGGATATTCAAAATATACGAGCCACAGGAAAAACATAACATTTTTTTATTAGCTATACGTGAGGGGCAAGTTGAAGGTATGAGAGCAAGAGGCAGATGATGATACAAGTGGGAGGACATCAAGAGATACACAAACAGCAGTCTGAGAAAGTGTACTACTATGACAAGAGACAGAGTGTGTTGGAGATTCCCCTGCAGCCAACTTAACTGTGAAGATGACACTTGATTAACATAACAAAAAATATTTATGCTGACAAAAATAAAAGAAAACCATTATAAAAGTAAATATGCAACATTTATTTCCTCTGGGCATTGCGTTGCAGTCTAACGACAATAAAATACTTAAAACTACAACAGAAAAGTAAAGGTAGCTACTGGGGCCCTGATCACATGAACTCGGTGAGTTCCAGTTAATTTACAAAAGCATGTGGCTAGACCTGTGTACCAAATATGCCTCAAGATGTAGCAACATTTCAGCTTACTTACTTTACACCATCGTATAGTCAGATTTGATCTTTCTTTACATTCTAGGGAAGCAGGGAGGGGTCATAAACCACTTCAGTCCCAGAAGGTTATAGCTGAATCCCAAAGGAGGTAATGGCAACAACAACATCATGGCTCTACTACATCCACATCAGTTAAATACACAACCCCTACAGGAGACTGGTCTGTTATCTGGTGTTTTACTATACCCTAACTAAACATAAAATGTGCAAAACATTGTTTTGACTGACCCACATGATAAAATCCAGTCAAACATGGTGCATCCTTTGGTACTGAAAATGTTGAAAACAAAAACAAAAAAAACTTACCATCTTTTGTCTTCTGCCTTTTGTTCCTCAGCAAAACATGAACTCTCAACCATCTCCTGCCAACTGCTCTTATTCCATGTTGTCTCCTGTAATTGCTTTTATTTGTTCCCAAAACTATTCATCTCAATCTCTAATTCTTTTCCCTCTGCCCAGTTTGAAGTCTCAAGACTTACCTTACTTGCCTGAACAACATCCGGTAAGCTGTCTGGGGGATATGATACCACATGCTTCCACACCCCTCCATACAACATGTGTTTGTAATCTGTAAGATAATATGAAATAACTTGATTGGATGTCTTAGACTACACTGCATGGACTGGGAGGGTTTAAGAGCGGAGCATTTGAA